AAGATCTGGGGGTAAGTCAGTGGGAGTGCACCCGCTACGCAAGTGTGAGGCTGCTGGGTTGGGAGTTTGAGCACCGGCATTACCCCACATGTATGAGGAGAACAAAATATAAAGGGGGTAGGATGCTTCCCTTCCAGTTGGCTAGTCTGTGTAGATCGCCGGCACCACATATGGTACCCCGACATTGCCAGGAGAGAGCCCCAGTGCACCTGGTTTTAGGCCCCAAAACCAAGAAGAAAGAAAGTGAAGATAACAAGGAAGGAATCAGTAAGCTTGAAAAGAAAGTCCCTTATATTCTCCTCTTCCCATATCTTGTAGGCATCTTACTAGTTCTGAGTGGGGCTTCTTTCCCTCTTAAAACCATTAAGTATTTCTTGGAAAACCACTTTAGTGACAGTGAATCCCTTTCATTGCTGTTTGTGTGAGAAGTTCCTTATTCCTTTTTAAAGCTAAGTGATAGCCTTCCCGGGTAGAGTATTGGGTGGAGATCTCTGTAGCACTTGGATTTTCTGTTTGTTTTTAGGCCGCACCTGTTGGTGCTTAGCGGCCACTCCAAGACCTGCTCAGCCGTTGCTCTCACAGTGCTGGGGGTGGGACCAAAGCACGTCTTCAGCCCCTCATTGAACTGTTTCTCCAGCACCCCGACTTAGCACTTTGTATAACTTTCCCTTTACTTTCTATTAAACTTTTCATCTCTTATATTTTTCGTTTTCTTGGTTTTTTGTTTGTTTTTGCTTTTGGGCCACATCCAGTGATGTTCAGGGCTACTCCTGGCACTCACGAATTATTCCTGTGCTCAGGGGACCATATGGGGGATCGAATCCAGGTCAGCTGCATGTAAGGCAAATTCCCTACCCATTGTACTGTTGCTCCAACCCCTATTTTTCTTTTCCCCTTAAAATTTCTTTAGTTTAAGGCACAACACTGTTTCGGATAACATTCTAGCACTACCCTCACTTGACATCACGTTACTCATTGATTCGCTCAAGCGGGCACCAATAACGTCTCCATTTGTCCCTGTCGCATGCTAGTGTAGCCCAATGGCATCTGCTCATTCTAGGAACACGAAGAGCCTCAAACCGATCGTTCAGGATCTTGATGAAGAAGTCTGACCATCTCATAGGTTGGCGGCCACACAATCTTTTGACGTTCCGTGGAATCTAGTCAGTAATGGCTCTAGTCCAGCGGTCGTCTCTAAGTCTCATTACATGTCCAGCCCATCTGATTTTCAACTCCTTGGCAAACGAGACAGCACCCCTGATTCTTGACCGTTGATGGAGGTCGAAACTCCAGGTTCTTTTTCTCATTTGAGTGAAGTGTGTTACTCCAAGCATAGCTCTTTTGATTCCTCTTTGGGAGACCCGAATAGTGTTCTCATCCTGTTTTCGTAGGGCCCAGGTCTCTGAGGTATATGTTAATGCAGGAAAAACAGTAGAATCGAAGAGATGTGCCCAGAGCTGGAGGTTCTATTTCCTCTTAGCTATTTCTTCGATGCTCTTGAAGGCATTCTAAGCCGCTCTCTTCCTCCTGCACAACTCAGGTGCTAGGTCATTCGTCGTCTTGACTTGTCAACATAGGTACACATAACTATTGCATTTGGAGATGTTCATTTCGTTAAGAGCGAATGGAACGTCAGGAACGAGACCGTTTCTCATAAACATTGTCTTGGCGAGATTCAGCTGTAGTCCGACCTTTCCACACTCACGGTCAAAGTCAGCCAGCATTTGTGCCGCTTGGCTGATGTTTGGTGTTATTAGAACAATGTCATCAGCGAAGCAGAGGTGGTGTAGTTGCCAACCGTCTATCTTCACTCCCATTCCTTCCCATTCCAGTCGCATGACGTTCTCGAGGGTGGTACTGAAGAGTTTCGGTGAAATGGTATCACCCTACTGAACCCCTCTCTTGACGTCAATGATCACCTCCCTGTAGAATGGTGAGAACCTGGTAGTGAATCCACAATACAGCTCACAGAGGATCCTGATGTATTGAGTTTGAATGCCCTGTTTGGCTAGGGTCTCGATGACCGCTTCCGTCTCAACAGAATCAAAGGCCTTCTTTAAATCAATGAACGTTAGACAGAGCAGCATCTTGAACTCCCAAGAAACCTCAGTGAGCTTGGTTATTGTGTGGATATGGTGGATTGTGCTGAATCATTTTCGGAAATCGGCTTGCTCGCATGGTTGTCCTTCATCTAGTGTTCTGCCTATCCTATTCAGGATGACTCAAGTGAACACTTTGTAGATGACAGACAACAGGCAGATCGGGCGATAGTTGCCAATGTCGTGGATGTCTCTCTTCTTGTACAGTACAGTCCTGCTGGTTTTCCATTGGGATGGAACCTTGCATTCAGACAAGTAGCGTGCGAAGAGCCGAGCCAGTTTATTGATGAGTACTGACGGCAGGTTCTTCAGGGTCTGACCTTGTCTGGGCTGAGGCCAGAGTGACCCAAGCACAGCCAGAAGTAAACCCAGAGCAGCAATGGGTATAGTCTAAGCCCTTCAGAATCCCCCTCCCCTCCCCCCACACAACCCACCAAGAGTAAAGTCTTTGGACTGATAAGGAGACTGAGCTCCCTGCTGAGATTCTGATGTATATGTATTTATTAAATCGTTCCCTGTGCATGATGGCGTGGTGGGAAAACACATGCCCTTTCGAGAATGTACTGTGTGAACAGCTGATACTCCTCAGGCATCTAGTCTCTTTTTCCTTCCCAGGCTTTTAAAATTTTTAAATTTTAAAATCATTTAGTTGTGATAAGAAGTAGAGTCAAAACTTAAAAATTTCGGGGTTGGGGCTGGAGCAATAGCACAGCAGGTAGGGCATTTGCCTTGCACGTGGCTGACCCGGTTTCGAATCCCAGCATCCCATATGGTCCCCTGAGCACCGCCAGGAGTAATTCCTGAGTGCATGAGCCAGGAGTGACCCCTGTGCATCGCCAGGTGTGACCCAAAAAAAAAACAAAAAAATTCGGGGTTGGAGCAATATCACAGCGGGTAGGGCATTTGCCTTGCACGCAGCTGACCTGGGTTTGTTTCCCAGCGTCCCATATGGTCCCCCGAGTACCACCAGGAATAATTCCTGAGTGCATGAGCCAGGAGTAACCCCTGTGCATCATCGGGTGCAACACCCCCCCCAAAAAAAAAGAAAATTTAAAAATTTTCTTCTGACTTTCTGCCCTGTTTGCTTTATCAGAAACAAATTTCAAGGCCAGAGAGATGGCACAGGAGCTTAGGACCTTTCCTAGTAGCACAGGGCCCAGTACATTTTGGTCCCGGCACCACAGGGAGTGACCCCTAGCAAGCGCTGAGCATAGTTAGGTGTGGCGAACAAAACAACAGCAAAAAACAAACTATTTATGAAGAATTGATCCTTTGTTTTTGTTTTGGGGCCACCAGGCTCATTCGTGGTGGGTTTGGGAGACTGTATGGGTGCCAGGGTTCAAACCCATGTAGGCTGCATAAAGGCAAGCACTTTACCCACTGCGCTATCTCTAGATAAGAGATTTGTTTTTTGTTAGTCTTCTGTCCGAGCACAGTGTTGCTTAGGGTTTACTTCTGGTTCTATGCTCAAGGATCACTCCTGGCAGTGCTTGGAGGACCAAACACAAGCGGAAATTGAACTGGACTGGGCCACATTCAAGGCAAGTTCCTTAATCCCTGTACTATCTTGCTGGTCCCAGGAAATGGAACTTGACTCATTTGCAAATTTTTTGCAAATACAGCAGATATTTCATGTTAGAGTATTTATGTCTTCAAGAAATCACACTAGGTGGAGTTTCAGTAGCACTGTAGTACTGTCCCTCTGTTGTTCATCGATTTGCTCGAGCAGGCATGAGTAACGTCTCGCAACAAATTGTGAGACTTGTTGTTACTGTTTTTGGCTTATGGAATATATCACGGATAGCTTCCCAGGCTCCGCTGTGCGGGGGAGATACTCTCGGTAGCTTGCCGGGCTCTCCGAGAGGGGCAGGGGAATCGAACCCGGATCGGCCGTGTGCAAGGCAAACACCCTTCCCCTGTACTGTCACTCCAGCCCGGAATTTCAGTATTGGAGTTTCAATATTTCCTGTTTTTTTGTTTTGTTTGTTTTTAGCTTTTTGGGCCTTGCCTGGCAGTGCTCGGGCTGGAGCAATAGCACAACGGGTAGGGCGTTTGCCTTGCGCGTGGCCACCCCGGGTTCGATTCCTCTGCCCCTCTCCGAGAGCCTGGCAAGCTACCCGTGACGTATTTGATATGCCAAACACAGTAACAACAAGTCTCATAATGTTACTGGGCCCACTCGCTCGAGCAAATCAATGAACAACAGACAGACAGTACTACAGTACTACAGAGCCTGGCAATGCTCAGGGGTTAACTCCTGGTTCTACACTCAGAAATTACTCCTGTTGGTGCTTGGAGGACCATATGGGATGCCGGAGATTGAACCCGGGTCAGCCTCGTGCAAGACAAAAACGCCCTCCCCACTGTACTATTGCTCCAGCCCTGAAATTTATTATTTCTCAGAACTTCCTCTGCTTCTAGTTTTCAACCTTGTAACTTAAATTGCAATGAATTCAGGTTTCCCCACTCTAACCAAAAGTAGAATGTGCCTGTGAAACCTTTATAATAGGCAGGAACAGCATGAAGTGAAAAAGCAATTCACATTAAATTGAATGAAACATGTGTTTGGTGTCCCAGAGCACATAACCTACCAAATCACATCAAAATGAGGTGAAACAAAATAATGCTAACATAGAGTAAAACTAAGAGTTAGTGTTACATCAGGAGCTTTCCATGATGTGCGCGCCACCCTGAAGAACAGCTGCTGCAAATAAATGTTGAACACACTTTGCCATCAGAAGAGGAAGCTCTTCATATTTCATTTAGTTTATGAAAACTGGTACTAATGTAAGTCATTACAAGTGAAGTGTCATAATGTGAACTTTCAAAAAATGGGAGTGGCTTGTATATTATTAGGTTATACATTAGGGCTGAAAGTAACTTTTTTTCTTTGCCTTACAGCTGCATCCAGATTTCATTATGCATCAGAAAAATGAAAAAACAGAGGAAATTTTTATGGAGAAAAGGAATTCACCTTGCCTTTTCTGAAAAATGGAATACAGGATTTGGAGGTTTTCAGAAGTTTTACTTTCACCAACACTTGTGCATTGTGAAGGCCACCTTGGGGAGGCCCATTAGTTGGTGCGGTCTGCTGAGAGCTTCCCAGGGCAGAAGGAAGGCCCTCCGACTCCAGAATACGTGGATTCAGGTTGAACCTCCTTTCACAAAGATAAAGTCTACCGCAGCTGCTCAAAATGTTAGCACATTGTCCTCTAAGGTGAAAAGAAAAGACACAAGACACCTCATCGCTTCCCCGAGGACCCTCCTGAAGCTCCAGGCGGAGAAGTTGCTGGCCTCGGTAGGGAACTCTGGCCATGAGTACTGCGGGGAGGACTGTCTCCCGAAGGCTGTTGCTGACGGGCCAGCAAGTAGCGCTTTAGGCCGGGCCAACGGTCACCGACCTTGGACAGGGCCACGTGCTTCTGAGTTTCCCATGAAGTTCATTGGGGAGAGCCAGAGGCCCGGGGAGAGCGGCACGATCGTGGTGACGTTGAGCAACCAGAGGAGAAAGCGCTTTTGTTACGGCTGTTACCACCACAGGAATGGGGGGTCTCTGATTCCAAAAAGGTTCCCACTTAACCATCATCGAAGAACAAAATTATCTCTTATGATGTATGATAAATTATCCATGATCAGATTTCGGTACAGGATTCTCAGATCCCAGCATTTCAGAACAAAAAGCAAAGTTTGCAAGCTGAAGAAGGCCCAGCGGAGCTGGGTGCAGGTCACTGGAGACCACCCAGAGACCCCGCGGGAGACGGGCGAGGGGCGCAGCTGCAGCCCTAAAGACCCTTCCTGCCGGCCTCAGTCGTCCTGCCCAGATATGGACAGCGATGCTGCGGTGCAGGGCAGGAGCTCTCCCGCGCCCGACGGCCCCGCCAAGGGAAACTCTCCCCTGGGCAAGGAGCTCGGGGTAGACGGAACGTTCCCCGCCCCACAGAACGGCAGCGCCACGTGTGGCTGGGACAGGTCACCCTCTCCCTCGCCCGGGTGGGAGTGCACAGAGATGCTTCCTGGCACCCCCTTCCCAGAGCACCAGGCGAGTGACATGCTCATCTCGGAAACTGAACGGGAGGTCCAGGCCCCGGACCAGGAAATTCGGACGAGTGTCGTCACCGACGACGACAGAGGTCAGCTGCCTGTGTCCGGGCCAGATGAGTCTGTGCGCGGTGTCAACGGGCCCGGGGCTGACGAGCCTGTGGAGATTGAGGGCGCCTGCCAGATGGAGGAGGCTGGGTCTCTGAAGCAGAACATCCTGAGCTCCGAGTTGCTGGACCACCCTTACTGTAAAAGCCCACTGGAGGCTCCTCTCTCGAGCAGCGGGCTCAAACTAGAGAACCAGGTGGGCGGTGGGAAGAACAGTCCAAAGGCCTCGCCTGTGGATGACGAGCAGCTGTCCATCTGCCTGTCTGGTACGCCCTTCCCTTCCTCCCCCACTCCCGCCGCACTCGCTGGGAGAGCCCTTTCACATCTGGATTTCCCCTTAAACAAGTGGGCGTCCTTCCCGAAGCCTTTATGTTACTGTATTATTTAGGTATTCCAGAACTTGCTTCATCTTGATTTCTGGACGATGTGTATTGCTGTCTGCATCTTCCTTCTATGAAAGAAAGAAAGAGATTCTTTATACTTACACAGTTGTTTCTGGACGTTAAGTTCCTAGCAATGGGACAGATGTTGAGAGAGCACGCACCCTGAAAGTTTCCAAAGAATTGTTAAGTTACCCTCTAAAAAGTTGAGCCAGCTTACACCTGTTGAGCCTTGTCAGTCTTATCAGTCTTATCAGTTCTTTGTTTTATTACAAGTATTTAACTTTTTATTTAATGGGGGCTTTGTCAGGGGGGTCTGAGTCACACCAGGCTGCTCTGTGACTGGCCACTCTGGGGCTGCTCTGCTCCAGCTCTGCTCTGAGGTCATTTGGAAGAGCAAGTAGTGTTGGGATTAAACCAGGGTTGGCCGCATGCCAGGCAAGCGCTTTAACTCCTCAGTCTCTAGCCCTAACTTGAGTGTTACAGTTTGAGTTTATTTTTATATGTTATTTTCTTGTTCTGTATATAATTTTCCTTTATTTATTTTGGAGAAGCCATACCCAGCAGTGCTCAGGGCTTACTCTGTGTTCAGGAATTACTCCTAGTGGGGTTCAGGGGACCATAGAGGGTGCCAGGGATGGAACCTGGGTCAGCTGCATGCAAGGAGGCAAGCTCCTCCCTCACTGTTCTGTTGCACAGGCCACCTTTGTTTATTTTTGTTTTGCACTCTTGATATTTATCGAATATATAATCAACTTGTGTATAACACACTTATAGTTCTGAAGAATGTAGCAACAGATAGGATACACCTCTGTGGATTTTAAGTCATTCTAATTGTAAAGATACTAAATGTTGATTATAAATGTCACAAGTTTAAGTTTTTTTCTCTCACCAAAGGTAAAAGTTTTTGTACCCTGACTTTATAGGTGGTATTTTTCTCAATAGAAATTTTGTATTGTAAATAGTCAAGTTATCCTTCACTTGTTTTTGTTTTTGTTTTGTTTTGTTTTACTTTGGGGGCATACCTATTGATGCTCAGGGGTTGTTCTTGGCTCTGCACTCAGGAATTATTTCTAGCAGTGCTCAGGGAACCATAAGGGATGCTGGGGGTCAACTCAGGTCAGCTGTGTGCAAGGCAAGTGTCCTAGTCACTGTACTATCTCTCTAGCCCCTGTGCTCGCTGAAGGCTCCCAATTTTTACATTATGCTTTAAAAAGTCTTGCCATAATCTTTCCCACAAATTTAATTGGTTTACCTTTCTTTTTTGAAAGAAATGTGGCAGTATCAGTCTTGGAATTTACTCGAGATATAAAAGAGTACAAGTATACCAAGGCATTACTTAATGTTGTCTTGATAGCAAAAAATAAAAAAAAGAAAACAACCAAAACAAGTGTTTCCATGGAAACATATATTATGGCACATTCAGGCAGCAGCATACCATAAAACTGTTAAAGAATAAAGTCAGAGAGATAGTACAGCTAATCGAATGCTTGCCTGCACACAGCCAACCTGGTTTTGATCCCCAGCACCCCATAGGATCCCCTGAGTCCTGCAGGGAGTGACCCTTGAGCACAGAATCAGGAGTAAGCCCTGAACACAGTCGAGCGTGGCCCCAAAACAACAACAAAATTAACATTCAGTTGTGCTTGTACAAGGCAGCTGGAAAAGATTCGAGGGAAACTGAGGATGTGGTGTACAGGCAGAGCGTGTCCGTGCAGGGTGCCCGGACCTGGGTTTGATGCCTGCTACATCAGGCCCACTGGGTATGACTCCCACAACAGCAACAAAAGTTGAGGGAGGATACGAAAGTCTAGGATTTGCATGCGGTGATTTTTGTCTTGTTTCGGGGCCACACCTGGCGTACTGTGGGCTTGCCCCTGACGCTGCACTCAGGGATCATTCCTAGCAGGGACTGTGGGATGCTGGGATCGAACCCAGGCCTGTGGTGTGCAAGGCAAGCACCTTACTTGCTGTACTGTCTCTCCAGTCCCGCACGCAGTGGTTTTGTGAGGAAGATTCCTGTGGCACATAGATTCTAGGTGTTGAAGCTTTGTTTTGTGTTGGGGTCACACCTGCAGTGCTCAGGCATTACTCCTGTCTGTGTTCATGGAATCCCTTCTAGTGGGGCTTGAGGGGGGGACTCCTGCCTGGCTGACACAGGGGGCTCACCATGCGAGATGCCAGGGATTGGATTCTGGGTGGCTGTTCGGAAGGCAAGCACATTGTCTGCTGTATTACCACTTCGGGCCCCATGATTTGGTGTTATTTGTTTTGGTTTTGTTTTTATTTTATTTGCTTTTTGGGTCACACCCGGCAATCCTCAGGGGTTACTCCTGCCTCACGCACTCAGACGTTACTCTTGTTGGTACTCGGGGGACCATATGGGATGTTGGGAATCGAACTCGGTCAGCTGCGTGCAAGGCAAACGCCCTCCCCGCTGTGCTATCGCTCCAGCCCCTGGTTTTGTTTTTGAACCACACCTGGCTCCTGTGCTCAGGGATCACTCTGGCTGGCTGGAGAGACCCTATAGGAGGCCAGGGATTGAACCTCGGCATCCACGTGCAAAAGCAAATACCCTACCAGCCACTCCAACCCCAAGATGTTTGAGAATTTTTTATTTCAAAATTAAATTCAAAATTAAAAATTTTAATTTCAGATACAAAAACTCACACAAAACAGTTTAAGTGTACATGAATAACTGGTAGTTGGATCTATATCATTTGCCTAGCCCAGCAATAGAACATTGATCTTTGGAAGGAAGTGTGGTTACTAACACAGTTTCCACGTGGAGGAGCCTTGGAAACATGTTAAGTGGAAAGAAGCAAGACAGGAGGTCAAGCACAATGATTCCCTTGATTTGAAGTGGCAAGCATAGGCAAATACAGAGACAGGAAGTAGATTGATAGTTACCAGCGGCTGTGGAGATGGGAGAAATCAGTGACTGCTCATGGATACAAAGTATGACACAGTTTCTGGAATTTGGTAGTAATAATGTTTATAAAACTAGATTTTCCAGGAAAACGGCAGTTGCAGTTAAAGAGGGTCAAGTTTGTGATGTACACCTCACAATCCAGGAAAGTTGTTAAAAAGAAACACTGGTGAGACGTTTGGAAGCATGATGAGAGTTACTGCAGTAAGATTACCAACAGTTTGGACTCCACAAACACAGAATCTCACGTGTGTACATAACAAAAGTCATAAATGGATATTTGAAATATGTAGACATACGTGTGCTTTGACCATGAAACTTGATTTTAGCAAGCAGTAGAAGAAAGATACAAAATTAAAAGTCTAAATGGTCATTAGAAGGGAATTGTTTAAAATATGGCATATTCATTTAAATGGCGTACTAGATTATTTTTGAATTGACTTGAGGTCAAGTGTTGAGCCTAGAAAAAAGCTTTAAGAAGAGTCATGTGTGCTGTTTATATGTTTGGGGATTGTGTGGTTTTTTGGTTTGTTTCTGCTTTGCTTTTTGTGCCACACCCAGCAATGCTCGGGTTACAGGCTCTGCGCTCAGGAATTACTCCCGGTGGTGCTGGGGGGACCATATGGGATGCCGGGGATTGAACCCGCGACGGCCTCGTGCAAGGCAAATGTCCTACCCGCTGTACTGTTGCTCCGGCCGGCCCGGAATGTGTGTTCTGAAGTGAGGACACGACAGTGAGCCACACTTCCCTGGCTTGTGGAACGCCCTACGTTCATTCCCTCGCACCGCAAAATATAACAAAACAAAATGTACGGTCACAAGGGCACAATAGTTCTAAATGAACCGTGGGTGACTGCCACTTTATTTTATAAAATTATTAGGAAAAGCAATTAAAACCAGGGGTCAGAGAGAGTTTGACGAGCCGAGCACATGCATTCCATGTAGGAAATCCAGGTGGGCCCCCGGCCTTGCATGGTGCCCCTCGCACCGCTGGGAGCATCCCTTAGGCACCACGTGTGACCCCCCAAACAAAAGGAACTACTGAAAGTTAAAGCTCCCATCCGTCTCAAGTTTATAAAAATGCTCAGTCCTTCTTTCTTCTAGACGATTAGCATGTTTTTTCACTGAGAAGAGAGTAAAGATATCTCTCTGGCTCCCTTTTTATAGCAAAATGAATGACAGCTGTGAATGAAAGATTGCTGACAATTGTAATACTCCTTATCGATCGTTGGTGGGGGTGGCACCTGCCATTCGGTCCCGTTCTGGACTTGGTGTTTCTGTCTTCATTCTATTCTGTTTAGTTACTGTAATTAGTTTGATCATTTGGTGAGAGTGGAACATCCTAATCTTGTCCCTACCCACCATCTCTCTTTCTTCTCCTTTTTGTTTTTTTGTTTGTTTGTTTTGTTTTTTGCTTGTTTGCTTGGTTGGTTTTGTTTTTTGTTTTGGGGGCCACACCTGGCAATGTTCAGTGGCTTACTCCTGACTCTGCATTCAGAAGCCTCTACTGAGTGATGCTCAGGGGACCAATGGGATTCCAGATAACAAACCCCAGGTCGGCCGCGTGCAAGGCAAACACCCTACCCACTGTGCTATCGCTCTAGCCCCTAGTTTTCCCTAGTTTTCTTTTAAGCAAATAATTATTCCAGGTTTTGGTCTGTTTCTTACTCGAATTACATACTGCTTTTTACTTACGTTTTGCGTATCCTTTAAGTTGACCCTTAAATATTTATGTCTTATTTTGTTTTCATTTTTAACACTGGTGATAATAATGATAAGATATGAGTGCATCATCAGATATGCAGTTACAGTAATACTTAATATTAACATTTTATAAGTCTCAAGTTTTTTATTAATATTCAGATTAATACTGTCACTGTACTGCGCTGTCCTCCCGTTGTTCATCAATTTTCTCGAGCGGGCACCAGTAACATCTCCATTGTGAGACTTCTAGTTACTGTTTTTGGCATATCGATTATGCCACAGGTAGCTTGCCAGGCTTTGCTGTGCGGGCGGGATATTCTTGATAGCCTGCCGGGCTCTCCGAGAGGGACAGAGGAATTGAACCCGGGTGGGCCACAACCAAGGCAAACGCCCTACCCGCTGTGCTATCACTCAGCCCTGATTAATATTTATCAGATATTATTCACCTGTACATTTTATTAAGCCTGCACATCTACAATGCTAGCTTTTATCTCCATAAAGATAGAAAAAGCACAACAAATATTTCAAAGACTTTTCTTTTGTGGGGGACACACCTGGTGGTGCTCAGGGCTTACTACTGGCTCCCTGCTCAGGGTTCATTCCTGGCAGAGTTTAGGGTCCCATATAGGGCGCTGGGGATTGAACCCAGGTCACCAGCATGAAAGATAAGGGCCCTACCCACTGTACTATCCCTCCCTCCATCCCCTCAAAGACAGTTTTTAGGAACAAGTCTGAGATCAAGAACAAGTCCGTATAAACCTAATTATTGATCACTGCAGTTTTGCAGACTAGAGGAGAAGTATATATTGTCAAAGACTGCCAAAAGCAGCTATGTTAGAAAAGTTTGAAAAAATAGAGTCAGTTGAGTCATAGAACTTAAAAAGGCCTTTGAAGTGGAGGAAATTGGCTACCATTCATGTAGGGTTTGAATTCAGTGGGCCTGTGGTCACCTCATTAACACTGGTAGGCTATTTCAGGCTGGGACAAGGCTATTAATACTGTTGCATGCCTGGGATGAGCCAAATTTTTGTTGATTCTCTAGCGTGTTTTACTTTGACTGTCCTTTCTTAGCAAGATACTGAAATTTTTATTACAAGATCAGATCTAGGCTCTTAGATCTGACAAAACATTTCTGCAAAGATACTCTTTTTTCACAGTCTTTATCTTTTTATTCATTGATGTATAGTTGACTTCTTTTCCATTTGTACAGCATAAATGTTTTGTTATTTTGGTTTGGGGGCTAGCATCTCCAGCAGTGCTCAGGACTTAATACTGTCCATGTTCAGGAAACTGTATGCAGTGCTGGAATCAAACCAGGCTCATATGCTTATTAAATTGACCTGAAGACTATCTTATATTCTTGCAAAATTTACCCTTTAATCCTGTTTCCTCTCCTAAAACACACTTTACTAGCTGCTATCCAGTTAAACTCACTTCATATTATCATTTCTGTATCACCATAATTCTGCCAAGTTGGTGTTAAAAATTGCCTTAGAATTTGTCCCCTGCTCTGTGATGGAAACTGCATGCTTTCACCGAATCATACAGTGACAACAATCTCCGCAGTTCATCATTGTGCTTTCTGCTCTGTTGTGCTGCGAGGTGTCCGTGCTCCGGGAGTCACATCTGCTGTCAGTCTGGGCTCTTTGCTTTATGGGACTGTGCTGGGAATGAACAGCTTCCAACATGGGGCCTTCCCACTAACCACATTCCCAGGTCTGGATTTTTTTTTTCTTTTTGTAAGAATTGCTTTCGTATCCAGGATTCTGGAGAGGTAGTGGACAGGGCTGCAGGGCTCTTGACTTGCATGCAGCCGACACAGGTTCAATTCCCAGCATTCCTTTTGCTCCCCTGAGCCCCACCAGGACTAATCCCTGCGTGCAGAGCCAGGGTTAAATCCTGAGCTCTGGTGGAAATGGCCCAAAGAAAGGAGTTACCTTAATCTCCAGATGTGATAGCCACATTTAATCTGGTGATTAAAATCTTTAGATTTTACGTTCTTTAAAAAACCTTTGAAAAGGGGGCAATAGAGCACAGTGGGCAGGGCCCTTGCCATGCATGTGGCCAGTAGGGATCAATCCGCAGCATCCCAGATGGTTCTCTGAGTGAGCAGCACCAGGAGTAAGCCCTGAGCACTAACAGGTGTGACCCTAAAACAAAAACAAATTTTTTTTTTAAATTTTTAATCATTCTGATGCATGTGAAGTGGTTTTTTGAAGTATTTAGACAAAGCTTGGTAACTGGAATGGGAGTAGTGGGGAGTGGGGGCACCCTCAGTGGTGCTCAGGGCTTCCCAGCTCTATGCTCAGGGATCATTCCTGGTGGGGCTGGGAGACTCTGTGGGGTGCTGGGGATCGAACCATGTCGTCCGCTTGCAAGGCAAGGGCTCTGCCTGTTGTACTACTTTGTCTTTGGCCCCTAGATTTTACTCTTTAATAGAGCGAAATCTTCCTCAAGGTTAAGCGACTTAAAGATGTATATAAGACTGAGTAGTATTCCATTACTTATCTGTGGCATATATTCCACATTATCTCCATTTATTCATTGGTTATTGGGTTGTTTCCAAATCTTTTTGTTTTGTTTGAGGGCCACGCCGGCAAATCTTAGTGATCACTCTTCAGTGTGCTCAGAGTACAACGTAGGGTGCCAGGCATCACAACAGGGTGGGCTGCATGCAAGGCAAGTGCCCTGCCCACAGTGCTGTTGCTCCAGCTCATGTTTCCAAATCTTGTAAATAGCACAGCAGTGACCAAAGGTATGTTTGGTATATGTGGTAATGATAGGTTAAGTGTTTGTTAAGTGTTGTCTACAGGTTAAGAACTTGGAGACAGACTTTACTAAACATTTTTTTATCATTTTAATTTTTATTTCTTCCTTCAAGGATTCCTGGATGAGGTTATGAAGAAGTATGGCAGTCTCGTCCCACTCAGTGAAAAAGATGTACTTGGACGATTGAAAGATGTCTTTAATGAAGACTTTTCAAATAGGTCTGTCAGTGATGCTTAAGATGAGCCTTTGAAAGTGAAATTGCTATGATTTTTTATTAAGAAAAGTAACAGCAAACAGACATCATGATTTATACCTTTTCTTAAAATTTTTTCCATTTCAGGAAACCATTTATCAATAGGGAAATAACAAATTATCGGGCCAAACATCAAAAATGCAACTTCCGCGTCTTCTACAATAAGCACATGCTGGATATGGACGATCTTGCAACCCTGGATGGTCAGAATTGGCTGAACGACCAGGTCAGTGCACTGTAGCGTTTCCGTGTGGGAAAGGCCCAGAAGATAGCGGACAGTACATTTAATTCAGAACCTCTAGGTTGACCTCACTGTATTCTTTGGGACCAAGGATTCTTTTTATTCCTTAATAAAGTGACTCTTAGTAACACCAGTATCTAAGAGATTTAGTTAAAAGGTAAAGGTAAAGGCCCTCCCGTTGATCATCGATTTGCTCGAGCGGGCCCAGTAACGTCTCCATTGGAGACTTTGTTGTTACTGTGTCTGGCATATCGAATAGGCACGGGGAGCTTGCCAGGCTCTGCCGTGCGGGCGAGATACTCTCGGTAGCTTGCCGGGCTCTCCGAGAGGGGCGGAGGAATAGAACTCAGGTCAGCCATGTTGGCTGAGTGCAAGGCAAACGCCCTACTGCTGTGCTATCGCTCCAGCCCTAAGAGATTTACTATTAGCAATATGAGTATGTTTCTTATTCTGAGTGGGACGTTTTGAATTATATATACATGTATATAATTGGCAAATTTCTTTTAATGTTGGCTCTTTCTAGGTTATTAATATGTATGGTGAGTTGATAATGGATGCAGTCCCTGACAAAGTAAGTGATAACTTAGTCTTTTGCTTCTAAAGGAAAAGTTGTTTTTGAAATTTTATGTAATCATTTTATTCTCTTTAGATTTTCAGAAAGGGGTAGATTTAGTTTTGATCATGTACTAGTTTGGGGGGTAAGTTCTAAAAAATATTTCTGTACAGGAACGATTTTTCTATTACTTATCTTTATGGTTTTTGTGCCACACTTGGTGGTGCTCAGGTCTTCCAGCTGACTGTGCTTGGAGATCTCGTGGCTGGGGCTCGGGGTGCCGGGGTCTAACCCTGTCGGCCAAGGGCAAAGCGAGCAGCTGCCCGCCGTGCTGTCTCTCAAGGCCCTTGAGTGGTTTCTGCATAAAGGTCGAGTTTGCTTATTTTCTTCAGAGTGCCTTTGTTACTCTCTTCAAGAGGGGGTATTCTTTTTTCTTGTCTTCAGTAGATACTCAAAAGGGATTGCTTGCTTAAAAATTCTTTTAAGTTTTACTCATTTTTTTGAAAAGTGGCAAAGATGTTCTTCATATTCTTTTGGGGGGGAGGCGGCCTCAGCTGGCGATGCTCAAGGGGTACTCCTGGCTCTGCACTCATGAGTCCCTTCTTGACATTGCTCGGAAACCACACAGGATGCTGAGACTCGAGCCTGGGTGGGCTGCGTGCAAGGCAAATGCCCCCCCACCCGCCACCCCCCGTGGGTCCTTTGATTCCGGCCCGTTCATGTTCACGTTCACGTGGACAGATCTGAGAGTTCAAATGCATACTCCTTTCAGTTCTCTCAAGAGTCTAGTTACGTTGAAACCAAAGCACAAAAATTTGTAAGTCTACAACTGTACCTCCTGGTATTTCACTAATAAAAATTAAAAACAAAAAAAGAATCTAGTTACTTATTTCTGGGGCCGGAGTGTTAGTGCATTGAGTAAGGTACTGGCCTACTCTCATTCCCGGGCACCACTGGGTATGGCCCAAAAAGCAAACCAAGTAAAGTAAAGTAAAGGCCCTCCCGTTGATCGTCGATTTGCTCGAGCGGGCCCAGTAACGTCTCCATTGGAGACTTTGTTGTTACTGTGTCTGGCATATCGAATACTCTCGGTAGCTTGCCGGGCTCTCCGAGAGGGGCGGAGGAATCGAACTCGGGTCGGCCATGTTGGCCGCTTGTAAGGCGAACGCCCTACCCGCTGTGCTATCGCTCCAGCAAAAATAATAAATTTAAAAAATATTGTATATTAAAACTCAAAACATTCAAAAATACTTTTTTTAAATTTTTTAATTTTATTTATTTATTTATTTATTTATTTTTGCATCATACCCGGCCATGCACAGGGGTTACTCCTGGCTCATGCACTCAGGAATTACTCCTGGCAGTGCTCAGGGGACCATATGGGATGTTGGGAATCGAACCTGGGTTGGCCGCGTGCAAGGCAAACGCCCTACCCGCTGTGCTATCACTCCAGCCCCTAAAAATACTTTTATCTTTTTCAATATTCAAATACCCGATGGGCTGCTTTTCCAAAACCTTTCTAACTGTCTTTATAAACTTCCAACATTATTGATGAATATACGTAAAAGTCTTTCTACTTTACACTTGGAGACAAACTTGCGTGTTTTTTGAGGGAGGGACCCTCCCAAGCACTACTGAAGGAGGCCCTGAGCCTCTGGGATGCCCTGTTAACCAGCCGGGGTGCTCAGCCAGCGACGTGCAGTGCTGGACATCCTTGCCAAGGCTCAGGTGGTGCTCCGAGCTCAGGGCCACCCCTGCAGTGTTGGGGAGACTAACTATGGTGCATGTGCTCCAGCCCTTTGAACGACCTCCCCAATTTACACACTTTGTTTACTTTTGTGGCCACATCTGGTGGTCCGCAGTGCCCAGGGACCACTCCTGGCGGTGCTTAGGGGACTCTACAGTGCTAGGATGCAGTCAGGGGCAGCTGCGTGCTGGGCAAGCACCTTAGCTGCCTTCCCTCCCCCCATTATTTCTCCAGTCCAATTCATGTTTTAAATTGGAAGCATAATCATAATCTCATTCTTACATAGCCTCATTCGACTTTGTCACCTGATTTGGAGACACTTGTGAAGTGTACTTTATAGTAATTTGAAATAGAATGTCTGTGAGCTGTATAATGTTTTTTCTCTGCCGTGATCATTATTTATAAATTTTTGCTTTTGCTTTTGGGCTACTCCCAGCTCAGTGCTCGGAGATTGTCCCTAGCGTTGCAGGGGATCATGTGGTACCAGGGATCGAACTCAGGCCCCCTGTATGCAAAGCATGTGCTCAGCTTGTTGAATGATCTCTGTCTTTTCTTTTTTGGCCGTGGGTAAGCCCTGGTGCAGTGGGAGTTGAGGCACATCTGGCCCAGGGCTTACTCTCTGCTCTGGCTTCAGGTCACCCCTCTCAGTGCCCAAGGGGCCATATACAGTGCCGGGGACCTCGCCAGGCAGGGTCCACTGCTGTGAACAAGGCAGACAAGCACTTAAAACCTTGGCACTGTCTCTCCAACCCCTCATCATTATTTGTAAAAGAAAGTTTTCATCACCTTTTTTTGTGTACATTTCACTCAAGGATTTTCAAATTTCCATTTCTTTTGATGTTAAATCTGACACAGCATAATGCAATAATAACATAATGCAATAATAATATAACATAATGCCTAATAACACGGTGCTTGCATTTGATGTCTCTTCTAGGTTCACTTTTTCAACAGCTTTTTTCATAGACAGCTTGTAACCAAAGGATATAATGGAGTGAAAAGATGGACTAAAAAGGTACTTTTCTTTCTTTCTTTCTTTCTTTCTTTCTTTCTTTCTTTCTTTCTTTCTTTCTTTCTTTCCTCTCTCCTTCCTTCCCTCCTTCCCTCCTTCCTTCCTTCCTTCCTTCCTTCTTTCCTTCCTCCCTCCCTCCTTCTCTCCCTCCCTCCCACCCTTCCTTCCTTTCCTCCTTCCTTCCTTCCTTCCTTCCTTCTTTCCTTCCTCCCTCCTCTCCCTCCCTCCCCCCCTTCCTTCCTTTCCTCCCTCCTTCCTTCCTTCCTTCCTTCCTTCCTTCCTTCCTTCCTTCCTTCCTTCCTTCCTTCCTTCCGTACATGGGATCACATTTGGGCCATATCTGGCAGTACTCAGGGGTTACTCCTGGCTCTGCACTCAGGAATGACTCCTGACAGTGCTCAGGGACCATATAGGATGCTGGGAATTGAACCCGGGTCAGCTGTATGCAAGGCAAGCACCTGCAGTATCTCTTTGGCTCCCTTTTCTTTTTTATTGTAAATAAAAAATGCATTTGATAATGCATTCCTGTCCTTTGATGAAAGAATAAGAGTTTTAGTGTCAACTTGTTATTAAAGCAGACTTTGTGATGTAGTGCATGGCTTTGGTCGCTTGACTGGTTATTTATGGGGACCGCACTCACTGGAGCTTGGGGAAAACTCCTGGCACAGTGCTCAGGTGCCAGAAACCCGTGCCTCCTGTGTGCAAGGCAAATGCTTCAGGCCCCTAAGATGTCTCCCCAGCCCCATTTCCTTGCTCTTACTTTATTTTTTTTATTTTATTTTGCTTTTGGGGTCACACCAGCGATGCTCAGAGGATACTCCTGGTTCTGCACTGAGGAATTACTTCTGGCGTTGCTTGGGGAACCATATGGGATGCTGGGAATTGAACCCGGGTCGACCACGTGCAAAGCAAACGTCCTACCCGCTGTGCTATCACTCCAGCCCAATTGCTCTTACTTTCTGTATTCAGTCTAAAAAAAAAGTTTACCTCCTATGTTTTCTTGTAATAACTATTTATAGGTTTAGGTTTTATGTTTAGATCTTTGATATACCTTAATTTTTGAGAAAAACATGAGTAAGTGATCAAGGTTGTTTGTTGGGGGCCATACCCAAAGGTGCTCAGGGGCTACTCAGCATGGCGTCAGGGTTACACCTGAGCTCTGGGTACCACCAGTGCCGGGGATTGAACCCCGGTCTCCTGTGTCCAGCACATACATGCAGCCCGTTGAGCTCATTTGGTACATATGGTACTCGTTTTTTCTAGTATCTTTTGCTAAAATGACGTATGTTGGAGAGGTAGTACAGGAGGTTAGGATGCTTGCCTGGCACCGCTGACCCCGGCATCACACACAGGTCCTAAGCACTGCCAGGAGTAAACCCTGAGCACCGCCAGATGTGGAATGGGGAAAAACAAAAGGACTTATTTCCCAGCTTAACACTTTGTTTGGGGTTTTTTTTTATGTCTTTATTTTTGGAGTTTTCTTTTGGGTCACACACAGTAGTGCTCAGGGCTTTCTCCTGGCTCTGCATTCAGGGATCACTCCAGGCAGGACCTGGGCAACCACTTGGGGTGCTAGGGATTGAACCCAGATTGGCTGCATGCAACTTACTGGTTTAAGTTGTTCTAGTGAATTGGGTTAAATTCTTTGCTGAAAGTTTCTAATCATAAATGGATACTGAACTTTTAAAAATATTTTTCTTGCATCTCAGGAAGTGATCCTAAGGTTTTTCATTTTATTTAAAATTTTATTTATTAAAAATATTTTATGAGGGGCTGGAGCGATATAGCACAGTGGGTAGGGCATTTGCCTTGCACGCTGTTGACCCAGGTTCAATTCCCAGCACCCCATATGGTCCCCCAAGCACCGTCAGGAGTAATTCCTGAGTGCACGAGCCAGGAGTAACTCCTGTGCATCGTTGGGTGTGACCTGAAAAAGAAAAAAAGAAAAATTTGAGCCTGACAGTGTTCAAGGGTTCATCAGGGCTTCAGCTGGTAGTGTTTGGGGGCCATGTGATGCTGGAAATTGAACCACCAGACCCCCCCACCCCCCGCCTGATTTTTGTTGTTTTTTTGTTTGGGGGCCATACCCAGTGGTGCTCAGGGCTTATTCTTGGCTCTGCTCTCTCCTGGTGGGGCTCGGGGGATGACGTGTGATGCTGGGAATCCAACCCTGGTTGACCATATGCACTGCACCAACCTACTATACTGTCTCTCTGGCTTCCTGATTTTTTTTATCCTTATTCATTTAATGAGAGCCAAACTGAAAAACTAGCACTTAATCTTGAAATGGCAAGTCTTAAGGCTACTAATGGTTCCTTTCAGGGGTGAGGGTTTTAGAGCCATACCTGGTGGTGCTCAGGCTACTTCTGGCCCTGTTGTGTGCTCAGGGAACCGTGCAGTGCCAGGAATCGAATCTAGATCCCCAGCATGCACTCCAGCCCTTTGAATGGTCTCCCAGCCTGTGATGGGAGGGGTGAGGAGCTCCCCAGAGGGCCTGGGGATAGTCAGTTACTCTGCTGGTGCTTGGGGCCTATGAACATCACCAGAATGATCTGACCAGTAAGTGCAGACCTCCCTTCCAGTGAACTTGACCAGACTTACACCAGAGCCCATGGTCTTAGCTATCATACCGGATTCATGTAAAGCTAGAAGGCAGTAGCTTATGCCTTTCTCTTTGTGTGTAGGGGTGGGGGGTAGGGGAGGCGGCCATGCCTGGCTGCTTAGGGAATACCTGGTGTTTGGGGGCCACTCATGGCTGTGCATGGGGAAACCATATGTGGTACTAGAGATAGACCTTGGTGTCCCGCACGCAAAGCAAGTGTCTCAGCCCATTGCTTTCTCTGACCATAGTGTATGCTGTTTCCTAGTGGCATGATTCCTTCTAAGTGAAATACATGCACCTGAAAATTGTTACTTTTATCACTTGTCATCCGGTTGATCATCAGTTTGCTCGAGCAGGCACCAGTAACAACTCCATTCATCCCTGTCTTGTGCTAGCATAGCCCAGTGGCATATTGGGGCTCTTTCAGGGTGAAGGGAATGAGGCCCATTATTGTTACTGCTTTTGGCATGTCGAATACTCCATGGATAGCTTGCCAGGCTCTGCTGTGCGGGCAGGATACTCTTGGTAGCTTGCTGGGCTCTCTGAGAGGAAATACTGGTGACTCTAGATAACCTTGGGTCAATCGCACGCCCCCCCCGCCCCCCCGTGACAGCTACGACCCATTCGAACGTCTGCCCTATCAACTTTCTTTTTCTTTTTTTTTCTTTTTTTTACAGAGAATGAAATTTATTTATTTTTTAATTGTTAAATTTATTTATTGAATCACCGTGAGAAAAGTTACAAAGCTTTCAGGTTAAAGTCTCAGTCATACAATGATCAAACACCCATCCCTTCACCAGTAATTATTTTTCACCACCAAGAACCCCAATATACCCCCTCCCACCCCTCTCGATGCCTGTGAGGCAGATGATTTCTACTTAACTTTCTCTCTACTTTGATTACATTCATTACTTCGACAAGAGATGCACCATTATTGTTTGGAATTTCCCCCCAACAATCAGAACTGCTGAAAAGGCATTGTGAAATAATTTGTTTTCTATTGCTGTTTATGAAAACCATATGATGATTTTGGATTTCTGATATTTTACTAATTAAGTCTGGAGGGATTTCTACCAAGAGCTGGATAATTACGAGATTGGTTTGTGTGCCTCCAGTGCCATGGCCATGCCAGAGAGCCGCTCATGGGGGGCAACTCGTGGCCTTGGTAGGGCAGGAAGGACATGCCGGTTCCGCCCCCCATCCCATGAGGCTGCAGTTACCCCGTCGCCACCGGCTCATACCTGACTGTCCAATAAGCTCTGAGGTGGTAGCCACCGTGTGCAGGGGTGTGGGGGGTAAGCAGAAGAGACAGACACCCTTTCCCTCCCTGGGGGACATGGCGCTATAATTTAATGCATAGTCCATTCACCTTTCTGCCCACAAGGTGCTGATGCCCTATCAACTTTCGATGGTAGTCTCCATGCCTACCATGGTGACCATGGGTGACGGGGAATCAGGGTTCGATTCCGGAGAGGGAGCCTGAGAAACCTGAAAATTAAATTTAAAAATCAGGAGCTGCTGGGCCAGAAGAGATAGCTCTGAGAGCTAACGCATATGCCTCTCGTGTGACAGGCCTGAGTTCAGTCCCCAGCACAAACACTGGGCTTCCCAGGGGGCAGCTAACCACTGGGCGCCACCTCCAGCAACGTAGTCTGTGAGCTGCTGGGTATGACCCAAACTCCTCCTCCCCCTCCAGAAGAGGCTTAAGGTGCTGCCAAGTCAGGATCAGAACAGTAGTACAGCGGGTAGGGCATCTGTCTTGCATGCGGCTGACCTTGGTTCGATCTGCTGCATCCCCTATAGTCAGTCCCCTGAGCACTGCCAGGCGTCATTCCTGAGTGCAGAGCCAGGAGTAACGAGCATCACCAGGTGTGACCCCCCCACCCAAAAAAAAAAAAAAGAAAAGAAAGGTGCTGCCAAGTCATATCAGGCAGTTAATGAGCCCAGATTTAGCAGAATAAAAGTGCTTTTTTATGCATCCATAGCACCGTAGTTATGAGCACAGCCTTTAGACTGAGATCCACTTCCCGGCCTGGCTTCCCCATTTCCTGTCACTGGGCCGTGCGTGTCTGCTGGGTGCCGGCTTGCACAGCCCGTGGTGAGAGCTGCATTTCTTTGTCTTTTCCCTATTAGGTGGATTTGTTCAAAAAGAGTCTTCTGCTGATTCCAATCCACCTGGAAGTCCACTGGTCTCTCATTACTGTGACTCTCTCTAATCGAATTATTTCATTTTATGATTCCCAAGGCATTCATTTCAAGTTCTGTGTAGAGGTAAGTTCGTGTACTGCCTCATTTCCCTTTTTTCATCCTGTGATTAACCAGGCACTTTCCTAACTCTAGCTAGACTAGCAGAAGTCGGTATCATATAAGTTTCCCCCGCGAAATGCTGGTGTTGCAGAGGAAAGGGCCGTGTGTGGCAGCCTTAAGCTCTCAGGCCCTCTCACCTATCACCCTGGCTGCCTTTCCACAGCACCCCTTAAACCTTTCCCTTAAAACTGTATTGTGAGGGGCTGGAGAGATAGCATAGCGGGTAGGGCATTTGACTTGCACGCGGCCAACCCGGGTGTGATTCCCAGCATCCCATATGGTCCCCTGAGCAACGCCAGGAGTAATTCCTGAGTGCAGAGCCCAGGAGTAAGCCCTGTGCATCCCTGGGTGTGACCCAAAAAGCAAAAAAAAAAAAAAAAAAAAAAGCTGTATTGTGAATGCAAATAAAAATAATTTTACTACTTTCTCTTAAGATTGAGTTAAAATTGGCTTATATATTCAAAATAAGTGCACTTAGAATCACTAGTTATAACTCACAAAAACCAACTGGCAAAATAATAGAATTCAGTTCTAGTATAGTGGAAATCAAAGCAAAAATAATCACTAAGTTCTAATAATCACCAAATTATCCCATACTAACCCATACTAGCAGACATGGTTGGGAAATATAACTAAGATTCCATTTTCCAAGGCAGCAAAGACAAACCCTAATATAAATCCAGAAATAAACCCTAGCAAAAAATGTGAAAGTTAACACTAAAAATCTAAAATATTTAAAGGAAATCTGAATATACAGAAGGATTGGAAAGAGATCACATCACCAGAAGTAACAAGTCTCACAATGGAGACGTTACTTGGCCCGCTCGAGCAAATCGATGAACAACGGGAGGACAGTGCTACCAGAAATAATATAAATGAAAATTAATACTGTATCTGGGTTTATTTATTTTTTGTTTTGTGGGCTATGCTCAGGGTATTTATCCTGCAGTGCTTAGGGCTTACTACAGGCTTTGCACTCAGGGAACACTCCTTGCAGTGCTCAGGGGACCACTCATGGTCCTATGTAGTGTCAAGAATGGAATCCACGTTGGCCACATGCAGGGCACATGCCTTACCCATTGTACTCTCTTGTCTAGCCCTGAATTTCATTTTTTGCCTTTTAGGAATGGTTTGATGATATTCCCTATGTAGGTATAAGGAAACAGGTATTCTATTTTCTGTTGGCGTGTATAAATTGTTATAGCCTTTTAAGGTCAATTGCAATTCTAATCAGGTCTAAGTGCCTTATAAACTAAAAGGATAAATGTCCTACTGTAGACTGGTTTTGTTTCTTGGTATCTGCCCCACAAAAGTGTTCATATATGTATACAAGATGGGACATACCAGTATGTTTATCACAGCATTATTAATAGTGAAACACTAAAAATTTAAAAATTTGAAAGTTTCAATTTAGCTCTCCAAGAGAATAGACTCATGCTTATGCTGTAGTATATATATATTTTTAAGTTGATCACAGAAGTTAGGAAGAATAGAACAGATTTCCATGCCCTGCCATGGGAAGATCACCAGCCCAACTGAATTTTAAAAAGCAAGTTTGCAGGACTCTGTGTTCACAGAGAGAAACCATGTATGCATACAGGTACATATGTGTAGAAACTTGTTCACACACATACATCTACTCACACATCAGCTCTACTTCATCTTCATGAGGGTTAGTTTCTTTGACGTAACTCTGATTTCACCTTAGAGAATGCAGAGAGCTAGGAAAAAGAGGCTGAGAGCCTGAGGGGGAAGTTGGAAACCTCATAGCCTTCATCTTCGTAGAGATTTCAGGAGTGAATGTCTTCATTTAGCACCTATAAAGATTTCACTGTACCTTCCTGGAGCCTGGGGGAGCCTCTGCCCTGGACAGTCTAGGGCTGTAGGAGACTACTAGCTTCGGTGACAGATGTCTGCCATGGGTTCTCCACAGTTGAGGTAGGCAGTCACTGAGGTGTCCCCTCTGTTGTGCCAGTATGTAAGTTTCCAGCTTGGCAGGTGACTTGGTGCTGGAGAAGGCTTACCATCTCACCCAGTCAACGCACGCCAAGTCAGGAAGGTCTAGGTGTATCTTAATGGTACCCGTGCGGCTGGAAATGGCGCTGAGGGGAAGGGCCACAGCCTCCTCTTTGCTTGTCTGCTGTGGGCATGTTCCATTTTCCACCAACTGATGGAACACAGCATCTGTGTTGTGGTTTCTTTTTAACCAGAATATAAGAAAGTATTTGCTGACTGAAGCCAGAGAAAAAAATAGACCTGAATTTCTTCAGGGTTGGCAGACTGCTGTTACAAAGGTAAGTATGTAATACAAATAAAACCCCTGGCATGCCAAGGGGTTGGAATTACCCAGGGGGCTGGGTGTCTGAGAGCCTTTGAAGGCTGGTGACAGAGATTCAGATGCAGAGCCTGAGGGCTGCCTGGAGGCAGCACAGCCCAGTTCAGTATCATCTGCTAGTGCACTTGCAGGTACTCACAGGGCAGCCGCTCATGGAGTGATCGCTCTGTTGGCGGGGAGGGGGGATATAGTTCACGAAGGGGTTTTGCGGGGGGGTTAGTTTTTGGTTTTTTGGTGGCACCTGTCTTTTGCTAGTGCTTTTTTTCCCTGAGAGGCGTGGAGAAATGCGTGAATGCCTGTCTGGACCCGTTAGGGAGGAAGCGCTTCCTTCCAGGCGGTGAGGCCTGAGTCAGCACATACTCAGGCAGCGGCACAGTGTACGGGGGCGGAGTGCCACCGTCTGGCCAGCACTGGGCCCTCTTCAGCTTGGGCAGGGATGATCTCATTTGATCTTCATGCCTCGCAAGGGAGGCGGGTCCGTGGGGCAGAAGCATCCTCCCGATGCCAAGCGCTGAAGCCAGAGCTGCGCTCCCCCGAGGCCACTACAGACAGCACCAGGGCCCGAACTCAGCACCTGGGTCACAGGCAGGCAAGCCCAGGCCTGAACAGGGACACAGATTCATTTCTCCTCCTTGAACAGAACCAAGAACTGATTTGTCAACTTAGGTTTTGTGTGTTAGATAAAAATTTATGCCAGAATTAAATTTGTACATTTTCCGAATTTACTCAGTATCAGAATATCTAGGTATTTTCTTAAATTTAGTCCAGATCTTCCGGTGATCAACATCCTGCCTGATTTCACGATTTCTTTGAGGACTGTAACAGAGTTGTGTATTATGGGATGGAAGGGAAGCAGGACTGTTACCATCCAAGTCATTCAGAATCCAGGCGTTTGTCCTTTGAAACACTCTTACGTTTTTACTCCATTGTTGGTAACTAGTAAAACTGATTTTCCCAGCACAAGATTTAAAATAGAATTTCAGGCGATAGTTTCTGATACGTAGGCAATATTCCATAGATTGTGGTTAGTAGCGCTTTTCTTGTGGTCCAAGGCCTCCATGAACTTAGACACTTAAAATGACTGATGTATACGCCAGCTGCCATGGAGAGACACAAGTGTCTTTTCACCTGCTCTTTTTCATTAAATACTTTTTTCATTAAATACTTTTTCTTATCTGAAGAGGAGTACTTGGTCTTATTTTAATGATGATTCTGTTTTTTTTCCCTTAGTGTATTCCACAACAGAAAAATGACAGTGACTGTGGGGTCTTTGTGCTCCAGGTAATGAAATACTGTTTTTCCAGCACTTGCAATGTATGAATTAGACTTCCTGGGTGGTGGTGAAGGGGTCCTTGGGATTTGCACCTGGCACACAGGCACAGAGGTACAGGTGAACAAACTTTCCTCTCTCCCCATGTTGTTTCAGAGCAGTAGTTCTGTACTTGCAGATGTCATGGTTAGAACTGAGGCAAAAAATTAATGATAATTATCGTCCATATCTTCAGAGTTTCACTAGAGTACCAGAGGCCTTGCTGCTGCAGTGAGCCATACTAGCCACTGACCGGAACTTGCCTGAATCATACAGAACTATATAATTTAGCCTTTGGCAAATGATTTTTAACTACAGAGTAAAACTAGACTTTTGGGGGGGTCAGAGTAATATAGTACAGTGGGTAAGAACTTGCCTTGCTTAATCCCAAAGCAGGCTCAACCCCCAGCATCCCATATAGTCCCCTAAACACCGGGAGTAAGCCCCGAGCCCAAAAACAAAACTCGTCCTTGGGGGTGAGAGCTATACCCAGTGAAGTCCAAGAGCTGGGGCCACTCCTCAGGGGGTCCATGCGGAGCTGGGGTGCTGACCCAAGGCCTGGCGCACATAAAGCATGTGCTGCCACCTGAGCCGCATTCTGGGCCCCCCGAGTAAATTTTAAATAAGGCTCAGAATAATCCGCTCTTGCTGTAGGTTCCCTTAGTCACCAGAAAGGCTGTTGATATGTTCTGCTTTATGAATGGTCTTTGACCCATGCTTTGGAAAGATACACATGCAGACATTTGCAAAACGCGTCGGAGATGGGCTCATTCGCTTGACTCCCGAATGTCTGGGGTAAAAGAATCCAAATTCTCACGAGCATATTGGATCGCAGCGGGCTGCTCCTTTGGGATTGGAAACACTTTGGCGCCTTGTGCGTCTCACCCGACTGTCCGGCAAGGGAAGGGGGGAGCCCAAGCTCCCTGCTTGCCTGAATACTTGACCTGAGTTGAGAAATGTTTTCCCACAGTGTTTTCCGTATCTGTAAACTCTAAAATGCTGCCTTAGACCCCATCCTAGTAGGTGAAATGTGCCGGGTCCGTGCACGAGCCCGCGGGTCACTTCTGTTTCTGGGACCTTTGCAGTACTGCAAGTGCCTCGCCTTAGAGCAGCCTTTCCAGTTCTCCCAAGAAGATATGCCCCGCGTGCGGAAGCGGATTTACAAGGAACTGTGTGAGTGCCGGCTCATGGACTGAAGCCAGCAGGGGCTCTAGGAGGTCTGACCAAGTTGGAGCAGATGGTTCGTTACTTGAATCTCCACTTATTTGAATTTTTACAGAGATTTCAGATCGGTGGTATTGGGCCACTATTGTTACCTCAAATTTTATTTTATTTTTTGCCCTTACTCATTACTCTAGTTACCATGTACTATTTTTTATGTTCAGTTTTATTTCATTTTTAATTTTATGGATTCCGTGTGTTCCCCACCCCTCATATTTAATATTTATTATCCAAGCGCATGCATATAGACAGAGCATGCAGTGCAGAGTATTAAAAAAAAAGCAGCCTAGTAGATTTGGTGCAGCTTTTGAAACTTAGATGTGAATTGATAACAGGTTTTAAATTTAAATCCAGAACCTAAAAATACCGGATGTTTTTGATAACGTGTAATTCTAAGAATAGATGTTCCCTGGGGCCTAAGTGGTTTTGACTAGTCCAGTACTGTCTTACCAGCAGCACCTTTCACTGACTTCCCTCTCACATGAGACTTGGCGAGCGAGTGCACCCCTTCCTCTTGGAGGATGCGAAGGGACTACTGCATTGTTCCTGGAGGCATTCTGTGAGGACAGTGCCCGCATGGAAAGAGCTGATTAAGGTTTGAGGGACGACAACTTGGGGGCCAGTTATCTTAACATGAGAGATCTCAGTCTTCTTAAGAAGAAGGGTGATAAATGCCTAATCTTATAAAGGCTTTTGCTTAGAATTCCCTGCATTTTTCTGGGTTTGGCCTATTAAAAACTTAACATCCATCAAGCTAGTAGTGGTCAAATGAAAATTCAGCCTAAGAATTTTTTGCAAGCTGTTGCTTGTGTTGCCACTCATGTGGAAGAAATGAAGATTTACCAAGTACTTCTATTTCAAGAGTATTTCAGATGTAAACATTCAGAACAAAGACTAACTTCTGGCCTTTTGTTGTGGGGGAAAGGAGAGAGGGAAGGTTGGTTAGGATTCGACTCCACTGGAGTATAAGCAGCTGTTTTATTAGCTTTCCCTCCCTCCCTCATCTGTTCAGGGGTCCTGGCGACACGCAGGCTGCCTCTAGTCTCTGTGACACACTCCCACAAGGGAGTTCTTTCGCTTCTTTCTATGCATCTCATCTGGAGAAAGGCAGAAGCGGCTCTGTCCTTACACTTAGCTGCTTTAGGGTGAAAGTGCATCTTTAATTTACCTTTTTGTGTTATTTGAAAAGGGAAATGAGGAAAGATGCATGTTAAACCTGCTCAATTTTCTAAACCAAGGCAGGTAAAATAAGTGTGTATATAAGCAACTTGGGGCTTGTACAGAAAAATACCAAGTAAATGTCAGAAGATACTTGGATTTATGCTCAATGAGGTGTGGGGCATTGGGAGTTTTTAAAAAAAGGAAAAGAAAAAAAAAGCTCAAACCTGCAGTTCAACTGACCAGAAGGCTGACTGCTGGCAGTGAGGGTGGAGTCAGAACATGTTTACATGCAGGGTTCCTGCCCCAGACATTCCAGCACCAACTCCAGTGTTTACATTGTAAACAACCACCCCCCACCCACCCCAACATTTTCCTAAATTCCCAGGCTCTACTAGTATGAAACCAGGTCAGTATTTCTTACTGTGCTTCAGGTCCTTCAGTAGGCTGAGATTAGAGGCACTTCTTGCTGCTACAGGTAGGGGGCATGTCAGCTTTAGGGAAGATAATTTACAGAGGGGAAGAGTGTCTTAAAGAGTTTCAGATATAATTATGCAACATGCAATTTTTCAAATCTGTGAGAAGCATTAGCCCAATTTTATGTTTTGTAGCTATTCAGAGTGGCCAGTAATAGGCTGTTATCCAGACTGTCTTGTACTTTAGAATTCATACTGTATATCCTCACCGATAGAACCAGGCATGCAGCGACATGAAGAATAGTGTGCTGGCAAGAACCTTCCATGTCAATGCCCAGAGCTTGACTTGCTGTCTCCTGCTATCTGAGAGCTGGTCCTCCACTCAGCACAAAGCAGGGGTGTGCAGAGGGCCTGGGCTGAGCAGTCCCAGGCCTGTGTCATAGGGCACCTGGAGGTACATTAGTCTAAATGTTGGATGTTTTAATGTTTCTGTCATGCAAGGATCTGGGTCTTAGCACACACACACACACACACACACAGTGGCTTTCCCCCTCTCGTGATTTAGCTCTAGACCTCGATTTAGGTCTTTGTACTGATTAACTGCTTCCCTGCAACAAAGACATTTTGGAAGTACAGTCTGGACCACTGGTGGGAGAGACTTGGCACTGAACTACCAGAGTGCCCACAGGTGGGCAGACCTTACTGCTTTTCAGGTTGCGTGCAGGCCTCACACAAACTAAAAGCTGTTTATGATGTGCCTTCAACAAGCTGTTCCGTTCTCTCCATCAGCAAACTCTGCAGGCGAGACTTCTTTCCAGTGATGTCTCCTTTCTCCTTTTGTTAAATCTATAGCAATGAATGTAGATTTAATTCAACTTTTAGTTAAGTTCTGAATCTCAAGGATTATAAAGAAACTGACTTCGAAAGGGAAAAGGCAGCAGTTGCTGCCAAATGATCCCCAAGTCCCTTTTTTAAAAAATTTAACATTTTATTTTCTATGTATCATTGAACAAAAGTAATGCTGGTGATCTTGAATTCATAGTTGGAACAAAGAGTAACAGATCCAACTGGGACACATCCAGCATCGGCTTAAGTTGAACTGCCCACCCCCTCCCTGCATCTGTGCTTCCTGCGATTAGGAAAGGTAACTGGGGCTCTGGCCTTGGCAGACCCTTCAGGCAAGAAACGGTATTAATGGTGTGAATCAGATATACTGACAACCTGCTCTGCTTAATTATGTCAAGAAACTGAACTAATCAGCAACGAGAAGCACTTGCTTTGTTACGTGCTCAGCTCTGCCTCTTGGCCTGTAGATAATTAAGATGACCTAGGAAGTACCATCAGAGAAGTGCTTATTCTTTGAGTGTTACAAAAGCAGATCATACAAGATGTTCACTTAAATGCTATCTCTGGTCAGGAAAAAAATTTATTTAAAGATTGTGATCATGTAAAATTAATCGAACCTTCTAGCAAAAATATTTTTTTGAAAAATAAAACTAAATGCCTTTATAAATGTGTATTCTCTTGTGTTGATTAACGTGCACTGTTTGGCAAGTAGCAGTTCTTCCTAGTAACATCCCGTGATGGCAAGGCTTATTTATGAACAGAACTGGGCCACTCTTAAGCACTCCATCCTTCCAACACAGTTTTCGAGGAAGACAGAAATGTCCTACATCTGTATTCAGTACAAATAGTCACATGTGTGAAATGTGGCTTGTGTGAATGCAGAACTGGATGGTTTAGGTCAAATGGCTGTGTTGCTAATGGCTCATTAACTGTCACATCAAAATGGGTGAATATGCAAATTACGTACAATATTAATTCCACACAAAGCACAAATGTTCGAGAGTAAGATAGTTTCTATGTCCCTCTTTACACAAGTGAGGAAATGGCAATAAGTTGGTCCAACTTTATTGAAATCTATTACAGAAGATACAATTCAAATAGGAACCACTATCTGTGGTTTTAAGGCCTGTAGAAATCTGAGTTGTTTTATTACAAAATAATATAAAAGACATTAATTCAAACTACAGTGTAAAAAGAAACTTTAAAAAAGTATATCATTAAATTAAACATTCGCACTACAACTACAGTTTTAAAAATTCGAATGACCAGTTTGAACGAAAGGAGAAAATTTACACTTAGTGTAACGTGAAAGTTGCTCACATTGAGAGCCTTCAGCCTCCACAGTCACAAACTTGCGCGTGAAAAAAAGTTCACTTTGGGGAAATGATAAAAGACAGGTAGTTTCAATGAGCAAGCATTCACATTAGAGAGGATTCACCTTGCCTTACAATTGGAAATCTACCTTCTCTAAAGTCCCCTCTCTCTGTAAAGACCACCAGCTCGCTGCCATGGCTCTGAAACTCAAAAGTAACATTAGAGAAAAACCAAAACAGAGTTCAGTACGGAAATTTGGCCGAAACACATTTCCCAAGGGAAACACTTCTGTTTTTGTTCAGCATTCTCTCAGCCCTTATGCTGTAAAATCACTCCACTCCTAAGATCGCTCAGAAACTGCGTAAACATGACCCTCACTGCAACCTTCATTTTGCAAAGGCATTGTTTTAGCTTCTTTCCCTGACAGCTTCTTTCCTACCCCTAGTGCTCCTCCCCCACCCAACCAACTTAAAGAACATCTGAGATTCTCATAGTATACACTACCCTTTTTGTCGGTTTGTTGGGTTTTTAATTTTAAAGCTTTGGGTACAACTTATGACTTTTGAAAAGTTGTACTGAGTAAATACCGTTCAAGTTCATCGTCTTAATTTCCCAACAGGTGAAGCACTGGAGTGGGTGATATCTCTGGCATTAAGGCTTACTTTTGCACTAGTTGTTTATGAAGTTCCCTTGGCTCCTAAATTCCGCTTACAGAGCTAGAATACCAACACCGAAAACCAGTTCATCTCTTCAACATCTGTTTCTACTTTGGAGCACAGCTGTGTGGCATAGCAAAACTCCTATCTATTGAACACAGATATATCTCAGGCAAACAAAAAACCACTCCAGACCCAAGTATAGATCAAAAACCTACATGGACTGAAATATGGTAAAAATTTTTCTCATCTTCCTAAAAGAAACACGGTGTTTGGGCCCATAGAGTAATCAACATTACAGAATAAATCTGTTGCCAATCACAATTTTTGACCTGTTATAAAGAAAATTCTTCTGGTAACCTCGCATGGCGCAGATTCTAAGATTTGAAGTTTTCAGAAGAGGACCATTGAAGAGGCTTCCAGCTCAGCAGACACAATGATGAAAGGCTGGTCAAAAGGGCAGGTGTGCAGGCTCTGGGTAACGCATATTAACAAACTCAACAGGCCAAAGGAGAGATTTCACGATGGGTCTCTCACCGCTCACTGGTTCTGGGCCAGTTTTCCATAGCCGCCTCTCCCGGCATCATAGTCCTGCCGGTACTCATCTCGTACCTGATGGGAAAGAACATAGGTTACATTCTCCAGAAAAATGGTGCCACAAATATACTTCCCTCCCATAAATGTCAGGATGTGAATATTCAAGTTGGATTTTTTTGTTGACAGGTAAAATAAATTTCAGTTGCCTTGCAGAGCTAAAATTACCTCATTTCAAAAAGAAAAGCAGGCTTATGTTAATTTGGCACATATCCCAAAGAATATTTAAGTTAGGCTCTTATTTTAAAACAAAAACTTCAAACTATTTTCAGTGCATTGCAGACACTCTTGCAGGTGGAATAAAATGTCGCATGGCAGGACAATAGTGTGCTAGCAGAAATGGAGAGCTCACAACCTACCAGGTCCCTCTAAACTCACTGGGATTAAACTCAATGTCATCTATGTGCAAGACAATCACCCTACCCACTGCACCCTACCCACTACACTTTGGACTCCCAAAGCCCCATTATTAATTAAACATAAAAATCTTTCTTACTAACCATTGTTTCTGACCGACTAAAAGCCAGAGTTAAGAGACACAGTTCTTTTCCAATGAGTCTATACAAAAACATCTGGGGAAAGTGGTCACTCTGGAGGAGGATGGGGTGCAGAAGGAGGTAAAAAGTGCCTGCCACAGAGGCAGGCTGAGTTGGGGAGAGGAGAGGGAAACTGGGGACACTGGAGGGAATTGGACACCGGGAAAGGATTAGTGTCAGGACACTGGACACCTGAAATGCAATCACGAATAGCTTTGTAACTCACAGGGATACAATGAAGCCTGCTGTGGTGTGGGGGGAGAAACACCTCTCTTTAGGGCTGGACTCCCAGGCAAATGTGGCTTACCTGGCCCCCAGACCGCCCACGGCCGTACTGTCTGCCTTCCTTAAAGCCCGCGTCCCAGTCTGTGCGAATGATCCGGTCATCCAGTCGAGTTCCGTTTATGTACCGCATGGCATTTTCTGCATCTGCTCTTGAGTAGTATCTTAAGTACAAAAATTAAGGAATGCTTTATGACATGTTTGCCAGGTTTTTTCAGGGATACAGGAAGTGTACTTCCCCCCCCCCCCGGACCTTTCCACAAGTTGCCCTGGGGTCCCTGGGGTCAGTCTCAGCTTTCACACTGAGTATGGTACTCAGGCCCAGTGGTGGTACAGGCAAGCACTCCAGCTCCCTCGAGACCTTCCTCACCCCTAAAGCTGGCAAAAATTTATACAAACTAATTCAACAGATAAATTTCAAAGACAGTAATAGGCTTGTACAGGCTTATCTAGAAGCACCAAGCAAGTCAAATGTGATACGGCTGCACAGATCGTGAGTTCCTGAACAATTGCATTGAAAATTACTGGGCCCTAGGACTGGAGCAACAGTACAGTGAGTAGGGTGCATGCCCTACATGTGGCCAACCCGGGTTTGATCCCCGGCACCCCATATGGTCCCCTAAGCTTGGCAAAAGCGATTCCTGAGCACAGGGCCAGGAGTAACCCAGGTGTGGCACAAAAACAACAACAAAAAAAGTGATCTAAATTTCTTTTTTTGTTCTTGTTTGGGGGCCAATATCCATGAGGTGCCCAGAGCTTACTCCCTTCTCTGCACTCAGGGATCACTCCTGGTGGTGCTCAAGGGATCATATGCAGCGCTGGGGGTTAAACCAGTTCAGGCATATGCAAAGCATACTCCCTACCTGCTGTACTACTGCTCTGGCCTTGGGAATTTATTTTCAAAACAAACATCTGCATGTTTTTAACACCATGAGACTATATATTCTCGGAAGACTTTTTCTTAAAGCAAGCACGAATTTCAGAGCAGAAGATAACTGCTACCAGCTTTCACACCTCAGAATGAAAACACACTGCTATGAAAAGGAGTTGAGGTAAAGGGGAAGGACTGGCAAACACTCTCATTCTCTTTTTTCAGACAGGGGACCCACCACCTGTCCCACACTGACATGAAACCTGGGAAGGATACTCCACAAAGCAGAACCCACATGCAGTTTTCTTCATTTTATCCAGGCCCATAATGATTTTCTTTATGTCGCCACTTTTGCTGAAGAGTTCATAGATTTGTTCTTCAGTTGTATAAAAGGAAAGGTTTCCAACATACAATGTACAGCTCTTCTTCAGTAATTTTTCCTGTTCTTCATTGTCACCCTAGGATTCAAGTACAGAAAAGTTAAGCAACACCATTGAAGAGTCCTGTGCTAACTAAATCCATATGGGGATCCTCTGGGCACTAATGGATAGGTAATGCTGGCTCAACTTGCTTCACCCTGAAAAGGAGTCTCTGGATGCTGTCTCCGAATGCTTTGAACACGCTGCTCGGATTACTAGGTCTCACGAAATCATATTCAATGACAGAATCGAGAAAGTAAGCATCAAAATTGATGAGGGCAGGCTACAGATGGACAGCGGGTAGGGCACTTGCCTGCACGCAATTAACTAGGCTCAATCCCTGCCACTACCCTCAAACACCTCTAGGAGTTATCGCTGAGCACAGCCAGGTATGCCCCCCTCCCCCCAAAAAAACAAAACCAAATCCCAAACTCTGATGGGGCCAGGGGGAAAGCTAGGAAAGGACCAATGTGCACGTTTTGCATGTATGAGCACCGGGCAGCATCCCTAGTACCACTTAGTTCCCCAAGCACATACAAAAGTAACCTGAACAGCCACATGTGGTCCCTAAGCACTGCCAAGTGAGGCAAAGCACCAAAATGAAATAAACACATCCTCTAACGCATAAAACAAGTATTCCTGCCAGTTAAGCTGTAAATCTCCCACCATCCAAATTATGTTATGTATTGGTTTAGGAGACCATGCAGTGCCAAGGATTGAACCCAGGGATCCAGTAAGCAAAGCCCTCCACGCCTTTAAGTGAGCGCCCAGCCTCAAGTTCCACTTTTTATTATTATATCTTTGGCTTTTGGTTCGCACCCAGTAGAGTTCAGGGCTTATTCCTGATGGGGCTCGGGGCACCATATGAGGTACCAGGGATTTGGGGTCAGTCATGAGCAAGGCAAGCATTTTGCTAGGCTGTATCATCTCTCTAGCCTAACTTAAGGGCTGTGTTTTGGTTTTGGACCACAACCAGCGATGTTCAGGGATCAGTCCTGACATGGCTCAAGAGACTATGGGGTGCTGAGCATCAAATCCGGGTTGACTACATACAAGGCAAACACCCTACCTGCTGTACTATTGCTCTCACCCCGTTAGGCTTTTTTAAGGTAATTAATACATAGACATCAAACCCAAGAAAGAGGTATGTCTGCCAAGATCCTAGTAGGATCAAGGGACTATGAATCACAGACTTATATGAGATCTCACTTACAAAACTGAGTAAGCCTGACAAGCTCCCTGTGACGTATTCGATATGCCAAAATCAGTAACAACAGGTCTCACATGGAGACGTTACTGGGCCTGCTCAAGCAAATCGATGAACAACTACAACAACTACTAGTAGTGCTACTACAACTACAGTGCTCCTGGTCCTAGGAAAGACAAGTAACTTGTCCACGAAAACAGCTACTAATCAATAGTTAGAGCTGGAATGGAAACCCGTTACGATCTACAGCCCCAAACCTATCCACAATCCCATACTGCTTTCAAGTCTGAGGCCAGTGGCCACCAGTGTCTGCCTCCCAGCTTAAGGCGGCCAGGTGGATCTGGGTGCTACCTGTCTGCATTCCCTGATGATGGTCCTGACAGCCCGGCTGTCTGATAACCTGGCATTACGGGTGATTCCTGGCCACACCATAGCCAATGGGTGTGAGCACCAACTATACGGTGCAAATCAGCAAGCACCACAACCAAAAAAAAGATGCTCAAGCACCACACCTGCGGTTCCACTGGCAAGCATGCATGTGACAACCACAGCAACCCCAACCAGAATGTTCTCAACACCAGAACTAAAGGGGCATGACCTGCAGAAACATCACAACCAAACTGCTAGTGTGTGTGTAAGCCCCACCCCCTCTCAGCATAACCACAGGAAAGGCGAGGGAGACCATAGGACATGAGCCACCCTACACAGAGCGGTCAGGGGGCTGGGAGACTGCAGCGCTCACATCCTGAGTTCATTCTAGTACTCTGGAGCCCAAGCGCTGAACCAGGACGCCCACTCTGCTGGGCAGTATTGCCAGGCATGCTCTCCCGGCCTTGGCACCACCGGGAAAGCCAAAAGCAAACAGGTTTCCAAAACTGCACCGAGGCATCAGCGAGAGTACATTTACATTATTACTGCTGGCCTTTGAAAAAGATTGCGGTCAGGAGGCATTTTCTTACTTTTTGCAGAAAATGTAAGTAACAACGAAAGAGAAAACCCATGGCTTTAGACAACAGCGATGTTATTAGTGTAAACTGTAAAACTAGAAATCCTGAGTATCTCACTACATCAAAATAAAGCTACAAACGTCAGACTGCAGAGATGAACTATAACAAGTCTCATCCATTCAGTTTAAACTTTGCATCCATTCAGTTTAAACATGCTTTAGATTCCAGAGGTGGGGCTTTCAACAGAATGCAAACTGTTAAAATGGTAGAAATGAGAATCCTGCCTGCCTGATCCACCATAAGCCTTTAAAAATAGTTGCAGGGGCCAGAGCCATAGTACAGCAGGTAGGGAGTTTGTCTTGCATGCAGCCAACCCAAGTTTAATTCCTGGCATCCCATACAGTCCCCAGAATATTCTGAGTTCAGAGCCAGGAAATCCCCGAACATCGCCAGGTGTGGCCCAAAAACCAAATAAATAAAAGAATAAATAAAAGCACCTGAGGTTGGAGCATGTACAAAGGTTAAGAAATTTGCTTTGCAGTGGCTGCACTGACTGCCAGCCAGGTTCATATCTGGCATTGCATGCGGCCCCCTAAGCACCACCAGGGATCACTCCTGAACACAGAGCCAGGACTGGCTCCTGAGCACCTCAAAGTGTGACCCCCTCCAATAATTAAAACTTACCTGCATTTATTTAACGTGAACCACCATGAGGTACAGTTACAAAGTTGCTCAAGATTGAGTTTCAATGTTTTAATACCCATCCATTCACCAGTGCACACTTACCACCACCAGTGTCCCTAAGCCTGCTTCCTGGGCACTGCGGTTTGCAATACAGCTACTATAAATCATACATATCCCTCTCTACTCCTTTCAGCGCCCACCCAGTTCTTGTCCAGAATGATCGCTTCCTACTACCACTGCCACAGTGGTCCCTTCTCTGTCCTAAAGGCACCTGCACCCACCTTGTTGTTGGTGAGCTTCCTACTAGGAGACAAATCAGCTGCTGAGGGAATGAATTCAGAATCCTCCTCCCTCTGGCCTCAAACAACAGTTCCCTTTTCCTTTCTTGGGGCTACGGGGGGAAGAGGAGATGGGCCACACAGGGCGATGCACAGGGCTTACTCCTGACTGTGCTCAGGGATTCCCCCTGGCAGTGGTGGGGGGACCATAAGGGGCAAGTGACCTACCCGCTGTGCTAACCGCTCTGGCCCCACCCAAGTTCTCCCCCTCTGCTGACAAACCACCTTCCTGGCAGCCCCTGTGCCGCCACAACCCCCTCTCGGCTCCCCCCTTAACCCCGGTGGGGGTGGGGGGCGGGGACTCTCTTCTCGGCATCCTCCGCCCCTGCCATCCTCATTTCTCCCCCCCGGACCGACCCGGGCTGACCCACGTAACAGCAAATACATTAGCCACCGGCCCCGGTGGCGGAATGAAGAGGACGGCTCTCCGGAAAATTAATTTAAAAGGAAAAAAAAAAAAACACTACTCTTCCCGCCCGCACGGCCCGCAGGCCGCCGCGGGAAGACGGAGGCTGGAGGACGACACAAAGGGCGCCGCGGACCCCGCGGCCTCTCCCGGCGGCCCGGCCTCCCTCACCCGGAAGTGCTGGTCCCGGTACTGGCTCAGCTCCACGTAGGAGTCGCTGCGCAGCGCCTTCAGGAGACCCCCAGACATCGTTCCGAGCGCGACGGCGACGCAGCCACTCGTGGGAGCCCCGCGCCTCGGCCTGGCGGAAGCGGAAATGCGTGGGGCGAGGGGTGGGCGGTGGCGCAGAGGGGGAGGGTCAGCACTCCCCGCCCGCCAATCGGAGCGCAGCACGGGGGCGTTTTCCCCTCCCGCCCGCCTGCCGCGCGCCTGCGCGCCGGGCGTGTGGGCGGGGCGGAGTTCCGTCGCGTCGGCCGTCCCGGGCGGGAAGCGCGAGCGCGGCGCGCTCTGGATTCCGGGCTCGAGGATGGTGCTCCGCAGGCTGCTGGCCGCCTGGCTGCACAACGCGCAGCTGGTGGAGCGCCTGGCCGAGTCGCGGCCCATCCGGCGGGCAGCGCAGCTCACGGCCTTCGCGCTGCTGCAGGCGCAGCTGCACGGCTCCGACGTGGCGCGGCGCCTGCGAGCCCTGGCGGCGGGGTCCTCGGGCTCCCTGGCGCGCCGCGCCGCCCGCTTCAAGGAGACCTTCGGGCAGGAGCTGCGCCGCAGCCTCCGAAACCGCCCGGGGCCGCCCCCAGGTGACCGCCGCCCCTAGGCCCGCGCCGGGCCGGGCCCGCCACCGACTTTCCTCGACGCCGCCGACGCCTAGATGCTCGCCGCGACCGTCGCTCGGCAGAGGCCCCGCAGGAGCCGCCCCGGAGCGTGACCGCGCGCCGCGGACCCGGACCCGGACCCGGACGCAGCCCCGAGGAGCGCCTGCCCGCCGCGACCTTGTCCGCTGCCCTTGTCGCCGCGCCGATGGCCTGCAGCCCCACGGCGCGGAGGGGCGGGGGGAGAGAGCCGCGTTGCAAGGACAGTCGAGCCACAGCGACCCGGACCCACTGATTAAATGTGTGAGCTGAGCCCTGGGCGTGCCAACGCGTGTGCAGTTACTCATCAGGCGGCCTAGGGTGCCTGGGGACCGCAGGCCCCACGTGTGGCGGTGACAGTGCGGACACACTGGAGGGCAGGGCCTGGGAGATGACCCACGTCTGCGCGGCAGGTTCGATCCCTGCCCCCGCTCTCCCCGGGATCCCGGGAATCCGAGCACGGGGAAGGACGCTCCAACACTGCGCCAGAAGTAGCCCTTAAACGTGCTGGGTATGACCCCAAAGCCTCAAAAGTAAAACATGTCCAGGGCTTACGCTGTGCTGGAGTGCTTTTGCGAATGGCATTTGTGTTTTCCCACTTACCCTTACTTTCGGCGGGAGGGAGGGAGGTATTCTACCTCTTACTTGGGTCGGATGGACACACACACACACACACACACACACACACACACACACACACCTCTGTGATTTGCATACAGGTCTTTTGACTCCTGGGCCTGCATCCTTTAAGATCTAGATCTTTCCTCCAGGCTTCCCCTGCCCCACTAAGGTGGTAGTTAGGACTGCTGCCTAGGATGGAACAAGCTACTTGATTTTATTTGGGTGGGCGTGGGTAGGAGGTTGAGTCACACCTGACAATGCTCGGGTTACACCTAGCTCTGCACTCAGCAGTTACTACTCCTGGCAGTACTCAGGGGACCATACATGATGCGGGGATCAAACCCCGGTAGGCCAAAGTGCAATATAAACTCTATTCATTATACTGTTGCTCTGGCCCGGAACAAGCTACTTGAATTCCTGGTCTGCATTTGAGGCCTGGATCAGTTTAAAGACTATGGTCCTGCCAGTCTAATTAGAGAGGATCAGAGATCCGGACTGGAAAGTTTGAAACCACAGGAGAAGCTTTTAGGCAGTAACCCGACAATTTACTAAACTCCAGCTTTTAGTTTTGTTTTGGGGCTACACCTTGCGGTGCCCAGGGATCACTCTTGGCAGTGTTCAGTGAACTTATTATATGAAAAATACTAGGGATCGAACCCAGGTCAGCTGTGTGCACTATGCGGTCCATTCACCCCAGCTCTATTAATCCAGTTAAGGAAGCTGAATAGGGCCAGAGACCCACACCCTGGGAATAGAGAAGTTTGCTTAGCTCTTGGTCCACTTTCCTCCTGGTCAAATATCTGATTTGACAGCCAGTGTTGCATAGAGATGCTCTTACTCCTCCCGGACGGTAGAGGGCGCACCCCGCCACCGGCAGCTCCCATGCTGGCTCCTTCCAGGGCCTGTCGGCTTCCCTGGCAGTGTTAGCAGTGCCCACCCTGCATCCTCCCTGGGAACAGTCATACTCATTCAGGAAGCAATGAGCCTTCTAAACCTGTTTGGACCAAAGGGAAAGCATGAATGAAGTGCAACTGGCCTTGTGTGTGTAGAAGTATTTTATCAACCCAGAAGTAGGAAGTGGGTCTGCTCTGGAGAGCTGGTGTGGATGCCTCCCCTTTACTGGGGACGCCTCTGGTGGCTGCCCATCAGTCACTCACAAAGTCGTACACCAGGTCCTCTCCTGGCACCAATACCGGACATCGATGGCTCTACCAACAGTTCCCCCAGGACTTCTGAGGTGGTGCAGTTGACTAGGGGGCTAAGGGGACTAGGCTGAGATGGGACAACAAAGGATCCCCACTGTTGGGGACCCAACAGTCTAGTGTTTTGATTTTTTTGTGAGTTTTGGGGTTTTTTGGGCTATGCCCAAGTGGTACTCAGGAATGAGTCCTGGCGGTGCTTCAGGGAACCATGTGAGATGTCGGAGATCAAATGCAGGTAGCCATGTGAAGCAGTGCTATCACTTCGGCCCCTCAAAGAGGCGCTTTATCTGTTGGAAAGGCCATCTTTGACTGCAAAGTGAGTAAACGCCTCCCAAGGCCAGCTCTGCTGGCAGACACAGGATGGACACAGAGGGAGCAGCAGCATGAGCCACAGATGGGATGGCCAGTCCCCGTGGGTTCGAGCATTTAATTGAGAGGCATGTTCAGTGATGGGCTCCATCCCGCTCACTCTGGCTCACTCACAAGGGCAGGTCCTTGACCTCTGCTCCCTGCTCAGAATTCAGTCACTTAGTGATAGCACAGCAGTAGGGTGTTTGCCTTGCACGCAGCCAGCCCAGCCAAGCCGGGTGCGATTCTTCCGCCCCTCTCGGAGAGCCTGGCAAGCTACCGAGAGTATTCAATATGCCAAACACAGTAACAAGAAGTCTCACATTGGAGACATTACTGGGCCTGCTCGTGCAAATCGATGAACAGCAGGAGGACAGATTCTCAACAGAATCTGGCCAGTGTGGGAATCCGTACACTGCAGAAATCAGCCAGCCATCCTGATCCGGGCTTCCCAGAGTTTCGCAGCATACTGCTGACTCCTTCATAGGGCAGGAGTTGTGGCACCCGAGCCCAGGGCTGCCACAGAGCCACTGGCAGTGCCGAGAAGGGATGCATTGCCTCATTTGAACATCTCTAGCCTCCTCTTCCGGCCTGAGCCCCAGCGCCAGGTCTTCCCTGCCTCTGGTTCTCGTCTGCGATGGGCAGAAGGTGGGGACAGTGTTGCAACTCCCCTTGTCCGCTGGCCTGGGCTGGGGTGTCCTCGGGCATGCAGGGCAACATGCTATTGCAGAAGCAGCCTGTAGTGACCCCCTGCCTGCTGGCGAAGAGCAGTTCCACGCAGGGAAGATGAACCAGGGCACACTGAGGGTTTGCTTTGGTTTGGGGGCCCACCCAGCAGTCCTCGGGTATACACCTGGCTCTGTGCTCAGGGATCACTTCTGGCAGAGCTCCAGGGACTATACGTGGTGCTGGGACTCAAACCCAAATCACACGCGTGCAAGATAAGCAAGCGCCCTGCCTGCTGTGCTATCCCTCCGCCCCCTTTTCTCTGGGTCTGTGGAAGAAGAGAGGGTCGGCGGGTACCACATCATCTCCAGTGCCACCAAACAAACAACACACTGCTTCCATTCCCGCCTTGACAGGCTGGGGAATAAGGGCATCTGGGAGGACTAAAAGCATTAAAACTAAGTGTAAAGATGAGGTGCAGGAGGCTTCCGCTGCCTCTCCCAGGGAGAGCAGTTGGAGAGAATTCCAAGGAAGGTTCCACAATGACTACTTGGTGGCCACACTAACGACTCACACTCCCTCCGAAGGCCCCAAAGTGCCCTAGGGGGCACATCACACCCACTCCAAGCCCAGCTGCCAAGGACCCCCGCGTGATGGTGGCAGCCAGCAGATGCCTCGCCTGCTCATGTCACAGAGGGAAACTGAGTCTGGCTTTCCTCGGATCACACAGCCCGCGAGTGGCAGAGCAAGTGTGTGGCTCGGAGCTGTCTGCTCCACAGTTAGGAAGCCGGAGGGTGGACACCGGGAGAGGGCATTCCCAAGTGGCGCCAGCAGGGGGCGCTTCCGTTCGTACTTCACACCTCACAGTGGCAGGGACAGACGACAGGTGTCACTAGTTACAGCAAATTCTTTGGAGGTCTTGGGGAATTCGTCAGATCTTTGGTCTTCCAGGGAGGGAGTGTGGGGGCTGGCGGGGGGGCGGGGATAGAAGGCACCAGTTCGCCCAGAACAGAGAGTGGCCACAGCGACGCCCAGGAGAGCAGGGGAGAGAGTCCGAGGGGAAGGAAGAGAGGCCCAGGAAGACTCTTCCAAGGGCTGGAGCTTGTGCTTCGCATGCAGAAAGCCTGGGTTCGATGCCCAGCACTTCATGCTCTCCCGAGCACTGCCAGGAGTGGTCCCTGAGCACTGAATAGCCAGAAGTAGCCCCTGAGCACCCCTGGGCATGCTCCCAACCCAAAGACTAGGAAGGGTAACAAGAAGGCAAGGCAGAGCAGGTCCCCGCCCCGGGAAGGGGCGTCCTCCAGCCGGCTACGTGGCGGGCCTGTGTCCAGGCTCCTCGCCCAGCTCCAGGATGTGAAGGCTCAGCTGCTCCCTCCAGGCGCGGCTCAGCAGGGAGGTCAGGCCCGGGGGGTCCTCCAGGCTCAGGTGGGGAAACACGAGGGTCTCACTCGCGAGGGGGAAGCCGCACTTCTCCACAGCGGGCCTGGTGGTGCCGGGGGTCACCACAAAGAGGCGACAGAGCCCCGGCCCGCCAGCCCCCCCGCAGTCCGGCTGTCTGGCCAGGTCCTCCAGGACGTGGCACAGGGCGTGGGCTTCAGCCCCACCCACGTCCACGACCTCCACGGGCGGGCCCGGGCGCGGGAGGCGCAGGAGGTAGCGGGGTGGCATGTAGGTGTGGCTGAAGAGGAGCGCGAAGCGGGTGGGGGGCCCGGGGGGCCGGGGCGCGTGCACCACCCGCCTCAGGTACTCCAGGGCCCCCACGAGGCCGCCCTGGTGCAGGCAGCCGAAGAAGAGGGCGCCGAGGACGTTGAAGAGGACCAGGGTGCCCTTGGAGGGGCCAGGCCCGGGGTGTGCGCTGCACAGCAGGACCAGGGGCACCAGGAGGGGGATGAGGAAGCGCGCCTCCTGGTGGCTGAAGGCCGACAGCACGGCCAGGGGCGCGAAGTAGAGGAGCAGGAGGGGCGTCGTGGGGCCGGCGCGCAGGCCCGAGCCCCCCAGCACCTTCGGGAAGCCCGTCTGGGCAAAGGCCTGGATGCAGCCTTGCAGCTGCTGCCAGGCCGCCCGCAGGGCCTGGGCGTGCAGCCCCCCGAAGAGCAGGAAGCCGTTGGCCGCCAGGTGCGTGAGGCGCACGTGGGTGCCGTGCTGGGCCAGGTTCCGGGGGTCCAGGTTGTAGCGCAAGAAGTTGGCGGGCGTGAGGACCAGGCCGCTGGCTCGGGAGGGGCCGGAGAAATACCAGCTGTCCACGGCCACAAACAGGCCCGCCGTGAGGGCCGCCCCCGGGAGCAGCGCCAGAACTTCCTGGCTCAGCGCCCTGAAGCCCGGGGTGGGGGCTGCCCCGACGGCCCAGAGGAAGAGAGGGGCCAGGGCAAAGGCCAGGAAGGTGGGCCGGTTGAAGAAGCCAGCGGCCACGATGCCCCCGAGAAGCCAGCGGTGCCACCAGGGTGTCCGGGCCGGCTGCCGGGCGCCGGGGCTGCAGCCCGCCCGGGGGGACACCAGCACCAGCAGCCACGCGAACAGCAGCCCCTCGACGGCGTTGGAGAAGGGCCTCGTGTAGAAGACCAGCGTGACGTAGGAGCCCGCCAGCAGGACCAGGGCGCGCCAGCGCTCCGCACCCCACCGCGGGGCCAGGAGGTACACGGCCACGTCCAGCGCGAAGGAGAGGGCCGCCAGGAGGAGGCGGGGCGCCACGAGCAGCGCGTAGCCGCCCACGGGGCCCGCCCCCGGCCCCCACGCTTCCCAGAGCCTGAGCAGCCAGAAGGCCGAGCCCGAGGTGAGCAGCGGGACGACGGCCGTGCGGCAGGAGTTGCTGGGCTGGAACTCCCAGGGCCGGGCCGCCTCCACGCCCAGGACGTCCTCTGCGGAGAGAGTCGGAGAGAGAGTGAGGGGTTCGTCCTTAGAGACGGGGAGAAGAGTTCTAGGACGGGCCCCACACTCCGCCCCACGCTGCCTGCCCCTGGGACTGTGGGAACAGGGATTCGTAGCTTTGTTGGGGGCTGCACGCGGGAGGGCTCCAGGCTACTCCTGGTCCGGTGCTGGAGGTGGGGGGAGGTTGAGCCCAGCCCTCCTGCATGCAAAGCAGCTGCTCAACCTGGTCCTAGATAGCAGGGCGGGCATGCTGGGGCAGCCGACTCTAAGACAAGGCTGCAGGAGCCACAGAGGCAGGGATTAAGGCATTTGCCTTGCATGCAGCCCACCCGGCACCACATATGGTCCCCCAAGCGTTGCCAGGAGTGGCCCCTGAGCACAGAGGCAGGAGTAAGCCCTGAGCATCCCTGAGAGTGACTCATGGTACCCCCTCTTCCAAAGAGACAGCACCAGCAGGTGCCTTTCATGTATTTAGGCCCACGGTTCCATCTCCAGAAAACACACACACACATATACACACATTGAGATGGTGGGTGGGTCCGACACCACTGTACAAGCCCTTTACTGTTTAAAAACTTATTATTTGTTTTTCGCTTGGGGGGTCACACCTGGTGATGTTCAGGGCTTACTCCAGGCTCTGTGCTCAGGGATCACTCCTGGCAGTACTCAGAGGACCATATAGAATGCGGGAATTAAGCCCAGGTCAGCCACGTGCAAGGCAACCCCCCTACCCACTGTACTATTGCTCTGACTCTATATAAACCCTTTAAAACCAGAGAGTTTTGATCCAGGGATGTGGCTCAGTGGTGAAGCTCAGGCCAGACATGTGTGAGTCTCTAGGTTTAATTCTCCAGCACCTCAAAAATAAAGAACTATAAGTAAAAGCAGAGACTTTTCTCCAGCCCAAGTGAGTGTCAGAAATTCAGGCCACGATGGGCTGATAGGATAGCGGGTATGGTGCTTGCCTTGCACACGGCCGACCCAGGTTCAATCCTTGGCACCCTGTATGGTTCCCTGAGCCTGCCAAGAGTGATCCCTCAGCGCTCAGAGAAAGCCCTGAGCATGGCCAGGTGTGACCCAAAAACAAAAAGAAAGAGAAAGAAGGAAGGAAGGAAGGAAGGAAGGAAGGAAGGAAGGAGAGAGAGAGAGAGAAAGAAAGAAAGAAAGAAAGAAAGGAGGAAGGGAGAGAGAGAGAATGAGGAAGGAAGGAAGGAAGGAAGGAAGGATGGAAGGGAGGGAGGGAGGGAGGGAAAGGAGAAAGAACAAAAGAGAGAAAGAGGAAGGGAGAGTGCAAACTTGCAAGCCCAATATGGGGGCCTCTGAGAGCTAAGAGTACCTCGCTACCACCCCCCACCCCCGTGGTCAACCAGCAAGAAAACGGGCTCTAGTTTCACCACAGAAAGAAACTAAATTCTGCTAACCAAAATGAGCTTAGAAGTAGATCATTCTCCAGAGCATCCAGATAAGAACAGTGTGGCTCTCAGCTGACTGCAGCGTGCGAAACCCGAGCAGGGAGCCCCCACCACCTTCCCCCCTAACATTCTAGCGTGCTGAGGGTGCGGTGCTTCTCCTCCTGTAACCCTCTAGCCTTCTGGAATTCTCTCTGTCAGGAGTGAAAGGGGAACAGAAACTGGCATGAGACCAGTCTGGGTGCTTTTTGCTGGCTTCGGGGTTTCTTGTTTTTGTGTGTGCAGGAAAGAAGACTGTCCCTTTCTTTCTTCTTTTTTTTTTCTTTTTGGCTCATACCTGGCGATGCTCAGGGGTTCCTCCTGGCTCTGCACTCAGAAATTACTCCTGGCAGTGCTCAGGGGACAATATGGGATGCCAGGGATTGAACCCAGGTCGGCCGCATGCAAGGCAAATGCCCTACCCTCTGTCCTATTGCTCCGGCCCCCGACTGTCCTTTTCAATCTAATAAAAAACACAATCCCCCTCTAAGCGAGCCACCGTCTCCCTCACGACCCTGCCTCCTCCTTCCTCCATCCCTAACTGGCATTTGGTGGGCTTTGAGATGACACCGTGCCGTTTCTTTGCAGCTAGCATAGCTGTGTGTTTCACTCTGACCTCTAGCATGGAAATGGGCCAGGGAGCCTGTGGCCTTCAAAGCATGCCCGAAGAGGACAGTCCATCTCCTGACTGCCAGCTAGACACGCTTGGTTTTAGAAACAATGGCTTGAGCCATTTTGAACCAGGAGGTGGATACCATCTGATGTCTCAAGAAGCTTCAAGTTACGACAACTGTCCCCAGGTGTATTCTGCACCACTGAGCACATACGGCCTAACGGGGAATCATCCAGGGCTGGGTGCCCTGACCTGAATGCACAGAAGGGAAGATTCATTAGTGGAGGCCACTACCTTGGAGAAGTTTCCCCGCAGTGGGGAAGCCCAGCTTTAAAATAGCAATAGCACAGTGGGGAGGGCGCTTGCCTTGCACATGGCCAATTCAGGTTCCATCCCCAGCATCCCATACGGTCCTCTTAGCCTGTGGTGGTGATTCCTTGTGCATCTCTGGGCGTGGCCCCCCCAAAAAGAAAAAAAAACCCTCTACTCAGGGCTGGAGAGATTAAGGCACTTAACTTGTATGCAGCCCACCTTGGTTCAACACCATCCCACCATCCCGGCACCACAAATAGTCCCCCTGAGGAGTGATCCTCAGTGATCTAAAGAACACCAAGTGTGACCCAAAATATACTCCCCCTCCCCCGCCAATAAAAACCCATTGGTGAAAACGCCCAACGGATTCCATTCTGCACAAGCTATCCTGCTGGGTCAAGCCAGAGAACATGAGAGGTATTTCCTCTGCAACAGACACAAGGGCAATGCCCACCCTCAAGAAGGGCAGCTCTTACTCCAGACAGGTGGCCGACTGGCCATTCCCAGCAGAGATGAGTTCTCCTCTCCCCCCAGCCTGTTCCCACACGGACTGAGCAGCCTCCTGGTGCATGGAGAGCCTTACCTGCCATGACCTCGGGGTTCTGGAAGAACTCATCTGGGTGCACGTAGCCTGTCTGCGGAAGGAGACACCACGCCAGGCGGAGCAGGCCCAGGCTGCCCCACAGTGCCCGGGCTTCCATCTGTGGATCAAGCTGCCGTTTGGATCAAAATCACAGCGGCCACGAAGCTAGAAAGACTCCCCAGCTGCCATGCTGGATCCTCAGAGCTGCATTCAGTGAAGGAAACTTCCGGTTATCCGGAATGTTATCCTAATGTCAGTTATCATGTGATCTAAAACTCCAACTGGGCTACATGTGATTACAATATTACCAAGCACCAGAGCGAGAGTACAGCGGGAAGGGCATTTTCCTTGCATGTGGCTGACCAGGTTCAATCCCTGGCATTCCATACGGTTCCCCCAAGTACCACCAGGAGTAAGCCCTGGGCATTGCTGGGTGTGACCCAAAGAGCCAAAAAAAAAAAAAATAGTTACCAGAACAGCAGTGGAGATGCTCTGGGGTCACTCCTGCCTCTGCCCTCAGGGATCACTCCCAGCAGGCTCAGGAGAACCATACAGGATGCCAGGGATTGAACCCAGGTCGCCCCGTGCAAGACAAGCTACATGCCAAGAAGTTCAGGTTGCTCTTCACTCTCTGCAGCCTTCATGCTCCAAAAGGGGAGAGTGAAGCCCCCAGAGTAACCCGGCTCCTGGCTAAGCACGACACTGTGTCTGAATGTGATGTTTGCAGGTCTGGGTCTCCCGGCGCCATCCTGTTCAGGGCTCTCTTGGTAGTGTGTTTCTGACAACCTGGAAACCTCAAGAGGTTGCATCCATTGCCCCTCCACCTCCCTAATGGAGCATACTGGTAGGGGGAGAGAAAGCTCAGTAGACTGAGCACACAGTCTCATGCGGGACCCCCGGGTGGGATCGGGGCCACTGCCAGGAGCGACCCCTGAGCAAAGAGCCAGGGCTTACCCTGCAGCATTGCTGGATGTTACCCCCAAATTAAACAAACCGAACGAGAGAATTACACTCAAGGCTGAGAGATGGTATGGGGGAAAGCCCTTGCCTTGTGTGCTGTGGGGAGATCTCGGCCACCACATGTGACCCCCTGGGCACAAAGCCAGGAGCCAGCCCTAAGCACTGTAGGTGTGTCCCCCCCAAAAAATAAACAAAAAAACCAAAATAATTACCCTTAACCACTCTCTCCAGCTCTCGAGGTCCTGAATGTTTGCGTCCCTCCCAAAGGCATCTGCAGAGGGTGTGAGGAAGTGTGGCCTGGGAACAGTGTGTCGGGGGTGGGAGTGGCCTGAGGATGAATGGGATGATGGGGTCTGTTGAAGTGACCACGCCCAGACCCCACCCTGTCCACTCTGAGGACGCACCAGGAAGATGCTGGAGTGGTTCCCGGAACCTGAACCTCCCAGGCAGAGTGTACCCTTGTCCATTAGCCTAATGGACAAGAGCCCTTACATCACTCCGGGATCACGGCTCTCCCAGGGGATCCTCGGGCTTAGCCCAAGGGCGCCTGTGCACTGCACCCCAGAGCACGCCTCTGATAAACAGAAGCGCAAGTCGGACAACAGGGTTACCTTTCAGGTCCTGCGATGTGACTGTTTCCTCCCCTCTCCCTGGGATACTGGTGTGATGCAGCATCTGTTATTGGGTGGTGGGTATAACATTACACCAGACAAAGGCAAGGCCCCCCCTTTTTTTTAAAATTTGGTTTGGAGGCCACACCCGGTGGTGTTCAGGGCTCACTCTTGGCTCTGTACTCAGGGATCCCTGCTGGTGGGCTGCGGGACCATATGTGGTGTTGAGAATCGCCCCCGGGTGGACTGCATGCAAGGCCAGCGCCGAAACGCTGTACTTAAGGCTCCGGCTCCTTCTCATGGACCCTCTTGAGAGGAGCATCTTTCCGAGCTTGGGAGGCAAGTCTCACACTGGCTCGGGCTTGCACTGAGTTGCGGACCAGGTCAGTGACTGTCCCTGACCGCTGGGGCCGCGTTTCCAGCTAGAAAGGCTAAACTTGGGACTGGAATGAAAAGGTCACACCATAGTTTTCCTTGTTCACAGCCAAAGTGATACTGCAGGGTCGGGGTCTGGGAGCAGGAGACACAGGGGAGAGAAGTGTCCAGCACAGAGATGGGGAAATCTGTAGTCTTGGTTCAAACCCCCAATTCTGCCCTTTCAACTGGGCTCTTTATTTCATTTATTTACTTTTTTATTTAGCTTTTTGGGTCACACCAGGCGATTCTCAGGGTTACTGCTGGCTCTGCACTCAGGAATTACTCCTGGTGGTGCTCAGGGGACCATCTGGGATGCTGAGGATCCAACGGGGTCAGGAGCGTGCAGAGCAAACAACGCCCTACCCGCTGTGCTATCGCTCCGGCCCTTCTACTGTGTTTCTTGTATCTCTTGTGTCTCTCAACCTCAAGTTCCTCCTGGGGAAAGTCAGATAATATTAACCTCCTGGTGTTCAATGTGTTTGTTTCGACCTGGCAGTGCTCAGGGTTCTGGCTCTGCACTCGGGGATCACTCCTGGCCGTCTCTGGGACCAGGCGGAGTGCTGGGAAATTGAACCCAGGTCGGCTGTGTACAAGGCGAGCACCCTACCCTTAATACTACCACTCAGGCTCCTAGATAGCCCCTCCCCCCATTTTATTTTATCTCAATGTTTGTGGCGCAGGTCTTGGGCAGGGAAAGCAGGCGCCTGGCCGCTGACCCCAGCCCCGGCTGTGCTCCCATTGGACAGATGCGGAAAGTGCGGCCCAGGAAAGTCAGGACTCAGCCTTAGCGCTGCAGCATGGACTACCCCCACAGGCTCCCAGGGAAGCATGTCCAGGAGCCCGCCTGTCCTCCCTAGCTGGGGGGGCAACGAGCCCCCCAGAAGGCAGAAACGGAAACGGCCGGTCTCCCTCCCTGCCCTTCCCTCCTGCTGCTGACCCTCTCGACCCACTCACCCTCGCGCTGCCTCTGGGCTGGAGCCGCGGGGGCCGGGGACGGGCAGCGGCGCGTCCTGCAGGCGGCCACCCCTCTGCGGGTCCCCGGGAGCTGGGCACCGCGCAATGAGTCAGCGGGGGCGGGGGGGGGCGGAGATGTGGCCGAGAGCACTGCAGGCGGGGCCGCGCGGGCGGGCGGGGCTCCCGGGGGGCTGCCCAGGGCTCTCACGGCGCGCCCTCCCCGCCGGCCAGCGCGCCCCCCTCGCCGCCGGGGCGCCCCGAGGCGGGGGCGGTGCAGCGCGTCGGGCCGGGTCCTCCCGGAGCATTGCGGACGTCCCCGAGGGTGACCGGGCAGAGGAGGGACGAGCCGGCGGCTGCGGGGTGGTACCCGGGCGCTGCGCATCCCGGCTGCCCGCCCGCCCCCAGCTCGGCCAGGGAGCAGGTGACCTGCCCCGGGGGTCCGTCCACCCAGGCGCTGCAGGGGCGGCGGGAGCGCGCCCTGGAACGCCCCTCCCGGGTCTTTGGGGGGTCCGGGGCGGAGCTCCGAGCGCCGCACTGGGAGGAGCTCGAGGTTTCTGGGGTTCCTCCGGGTCCCCCCGCCCCCATGCCCTGAGCTGCCGGCCCAGTGCACGCCGCCCCCTGCGGGGAGAAGCCTGCACTGCGCCCGCGCCGCCTGCCTGCGACACAGCGCCCTTGTGATTTACATGCAGGCACATTTTTAAAATTTCTTTAGTTTGGCTTTTTGGGTCACACCCGGCCGTGCTCAGGGCTTTCTCCTGGCTCTGCACTCGGGAATTACTCCCGGCGGTGCTCAGGGAACCCTATGGGATGCCAAGGATCGAACCCGGGTCGGCCGCGTGCAAGGCAAACGCCCCACGCGCTGCCCTATCGCTCCGACCCGAATACCCGGAATGTTAAGTGAGGTCTGCGGTTCTGTGACTGATGGAATTTGGACAGGAGGAAACGACACCAGGCTGAACCTCTGTCCGTGACCCCGAGCTTAGCGTGTCCACTACTCGGAGAAGTCCCCTAGCCGCCCCTTGTCGTCAGTTCTTAGTCCCCCCGCCCCCTTTCCTGTCGCAGACAATTCCACACCGGATTCCCAGCACTGGATTCTTTCTTTCCTATGATTTAATATAAATAGGAACATCCAGGGTGTGACTTCTGAACAGTGGGTCTTTCACTAAGCACAAGTGCTTTTTTTTTTTTGAATTTTTTCATGGGGGGGCACAGCTGGCATTGCTCGGGGGTTACTCCTGGCTGTGTATTCAGGAATCACTCCTGGAGGTGCTCAGGGATCATATGGGATGGTCCAAGCCTGTTGTTGGCGTGAAAGGCAACCGACCTCCAGACTCTACTATTTCTCTTAAGCACTGTGCTTTCGGAAGTTACTCATGTGGTTGTGCTCTTAGCCTCCAATCCCTCATCACTGGTGTGGGGTATTGCATTGCGGGCATATTCCAGAAGGTTTTTTACCAGTTTGGACATTGGTAGGTGGCCTGGGGGAGCACCTCTCAGAATGTGCCAAAGGGAGCACATTTAAGTTCTTGTTTAGACATCTGGATTATTTCCACTTTTGAGAAATTGTGAGTAAAACTGCCTGCACATTCCTATACAAGTCTTGGTGTGACCTTTTTATTTCTCTTGGGGGAAAATCCCTGAATGGTAGAATGGTTTGGTTGTATGGTATTTGGGCTATGGTGTCTGGGAACTAACCGGAGTTTCATACACAAACAGATTATGTGCCACCACTAAGCTACACCCCTATTTTTTAAAAAAAGTTTTTTGGTCACACCCAGCGATGCTCAGGGGTTAAGTTACTCCCGGCCCTGCACTCAGGAATTACTCCTTGAGTGCTTGAGGATGCTGGGGATGAAATCCGGCTTGGTAGGATTGAACCCAGGTCGGCTGGGTGCAAAGCAGGTTCCTCAGCCACTGTTCTATCTCTCCAGTCCCAGGATGCTTTCATCGTGTAGGAAATTGCCTCGTTGTCTTTCAAGGTGTGGTCATACTAATTTACAGCACGGTCAGTCTGTTGAGTTTGTGCTTTGACACTGCGTCTTCCTCGTGGCATCTTTACTTATTTCTTTATTGGGGAAGAGCCACTTCCAGCCACCTAGAAGGCCTGGCAGCGCTAATGTCTCAGAGTCACCAGAAGTCCTGAACCCATTAGCCCCATGACTCTGATGATGTCCCACAGTGTCAGGTCCCTGACCATCTGCTCCTTTCCTGGGCCCTGGCCCGCCTCACCTT